GTTTTATAATACAGAAATCAAATTTGGGCAGTCTATTTGTATCTTAATTTTTACCTAATATTGGACTAAGCTTATTAAAATGCTTTTATTTGCCTTCTACTTTGATGTTTTAATTTAATTTGATATCTTTCTAAACTAATTTTCATTTCCCCTGCATTTTAAGAATACATTCCCTCAACTATTTATTTTTTAGTATTTTCCAATTAAGTCCGAACATGACACTAGATAAATAGCTTGTTGATAACATTTTAAATAAATAAGAAACGCTCGTGGTGTAAGGAAATCAACGATAACTAATATTTGATTTATTTACAATATTTACTATACCCGCTGCATTTTCTTTATTTTCCCTGCCATTTATTTTTCCTTCTCTCTCCTCTCTCTTCTCTCCCACCTTGTCTTATTTTCATTCGCTCGTTGTTGCCGTTGATTTGTTTTTATTTTTTATTTCCTCTCATTCCCTCCGCCTTATCAGCAGACTTTGACTTTGGGGACATGTAAATAATTTATATTGTATACTTTGTTATGTGTGTAATTTATGAGCACACTATAAAAAAAAGCACAAGCAGAGGGAGACAGCGGGGAGGAGAGGTGTTATATGATGGCTCTCTTATCAGCGTGAAAGTGGGACGGGTATAGTGGAGAGGAAAATAGTTATGCCTGGTAACAATAATAGTTTGGGTTAAATAATAATTAACGTAATTAGCATAACTATACAGATATATTCTGTACTAAAAAATATATCAATAAAAGTTAAAGGAAAAATATTATGATTAAAACTCGAAATGGGTTAATACGTTTATAAAAATTTACAAAATGTAATAGTAAATATCAAAAAGGAACGAAGATTGCCGGATTTGCTTTTTTCATATTTGAGGTATTTTGATTTTACTCAGAAGCTTAAAACACTATGAAGAACTCATTTCCGACCCTATAAATTATATATATTCTTGATCAGCATCAACAGCTGAATCGATCTAGACATGTCCGGTAAAAAATAAATTTTTGAAATTTTTTCGACATAATTTCGACATTTTTTTAACATCGTTAAAATGGCCAAAATCGCCAAAAATTTGAATTAAAAATCGAGTAAGCAGTTTTTTTAATTCTCATAAAAACTTGCATAGGACTGCTTTCCGAATTAAAATTAATACATTTTTGGCTTAGTTATGAGTTTTTTAAATTTTGATTTTTTGCAAATTTTTGCATATAAACATATCTATAAATATAGATTCAAAGAATTGTAATATTTGAAGTTTAGTTGTCATAGATTGCCGATATAATCCTATAATTCAGTTGGGAACTGCAAGTTAATTTCCTTTCTTGAAAATTATATTTTAAAATACATAAAATATTATCAAAAAATAATCCTTGCAATGAAAAGATACTTACACGCTCTGTTTCTTTAAAAAAAAACCTTCAAAAACCTAATATTAAACCCCTTTTTATGATAAACCCAAAATAATCGTTTTCCTTCAAAACTATATTATATATTTTGTGTACTGTCTCACCAAGGTTTTTACCTTTACTTAACCTTATTTCGCTTCGTTTGCTGCTTATCAAGGCAATGTAACGCACACATGCCCAAATAACACACACACACTCACACTCACAGGGAGATAAACGCACACAGAGACACAACTAATTGCTGTTTACTCAGCGCGCAATTTTCTTTTCAACACTCGGAGAAAAAAGAGGGGGGTTAACTAAAGAACTCAGGGCCATTGGCCGTTGGTATTGTTGTTTCTGTTGCTGTAACTGCAACTCACTAATCTCGCACTATCTCTTATACCATACGTGTGCGTGTCTATATATATATTGTATATATCTTCTTCCCTTGGCATGTTTTATTTATTTTACCAAGAAACAAATACGGCGATCATAAAAATTTAATTAACTTTTATGAACTGGGTAAATAGTGAAGGAAAAAATGCATTAAAACACACACACACACACACGGTTAAGATGGAAAAACTAGAAAACATTTACCCAAAAGATCCCATATCCCTCCGGCGGTGTTGAAAATAATTTATATTTACTTTCTTTACGATTTTTCATTTGCCTCGTGTTTGTTTATTTCTGTGTTTGTTTGCCTTTAGCTTGCTTGTCGAGGTCTAAGCAAATGTTTTTTTCGCCAGTGTGTTTGCAAAACTTTAATTAATACTTCAATGCATTTATTTATGGGGTGCTCTTTGAGAGATTCGGGTGCTTAGAATTAAAATAGAACCTTAGTTGTATCAGAAAAAACATTGTAGGAGGTTAATATTTAAAAAAAATAAAAAATTTTAAAACCTATGGTTAAGCCATAAAATTCTTAGTTAAAAAAAAAACTTAAATAACTTTTTTACTAGAGAAAAACATGATAATAGCTTCGAGAAAAAATATAAATTTAAAGACTTTATTTTAATACCCTTTCAGAGTATTATAATTTAAGTCAATAGCTTATATTTGTGAACGACTCATTTCCGACCCTATAATAAATATATATTTTTTATCAGCATTATCAGGCGAGTCGATCTAGCCATGTCCGGTTGAAAACTAAATTTTGAAAATTTTTCAAAATTTTATAAGGGGTTTCATCATTAAAACTTTCAAAATTGTCAAATTGTTGTATTTTTTTTATTTTAAATAGAGTATGCAGTTTTATTAACCTAATAAAACCTTACATAGGAAAGGTTTCCAAATTAAAATTAATGCATTTTTGACTTAGTTATGGGTTTTTCAAACTTTGATTAGTCCAAGAAATTTCTAATGTTACAGAGTTTTGAGTTTAGTCTTTCAACCAAAATATTTTTTAATATATACCAAGAACATTTTTATTCGATTATAAATTTTAAAACTTATGATGTCCAAGGTAAAATAAAATACAAAAACACTAATCTGAATTTTAAAAATATAAAAATACATTTAAATTTGTTCCAAAATCATTCCTAAAAGAATTTCAAATTCCCTTTTAAATATATACCCCAACAAATCGCTGCTATCGCATTGAACCCCACTGTATTAGCATTTATTTGCCGTTTGTTTGCTTAAAAAATCACAAAGAATAAAAAAAGAAATCGTACTGAGGGAAATGTAAGCAAAAATAATTGGCAATTTTCAATTGGAAATTGCGTGCAAATTTATTTTAATTTTGCACCTGCGTTTGCCTCCGTTTGTTTGCAATGCAAATATCCCTACATTCTACACATATAGATATATATATATAAATATTTTTAGAAAGCTGCAAAAAGGGGGTAATTCCCCCCTTGCAACCTCAACGACCCTAGTCAGTGTTTGTCCAAGTTATTTGGCTGCTTCGTTTGCCACCTGGTGTTGCAGATAAGAGAGGCAAGAAAATGGGGGGCTATATTTGTAGCATTGTTGGATTTATTTGCATAGCATTATGCCCAGATACATAGATAGATATTCCCTTTTTGCCAAGGTGGCAAATATTATTTCACACATGTGCAAAATATAAATCACTTTATTGCAGCCAATTTGCACAAACGATTTGCTCTGACTATTTGCCATTCATGTTGTTGTATGCAAATTGTATTTATTGTCTGTTCGTTTACCAAACAAAAAGTTCCCTTCCATTTTTGATTTGTGCCTTTCGCAATTAGCAGAAATATTTTCACAAATATTTCTATCCAAGGAGTGTATGTGTATATTGTTGATTTATTGCAAGAAATGTTTATGTTTATTCATGCAGACAAGACCCCAAGAAAATCCCTTTTCCCATCAGTTCAAAGTTGAAGTTTACACAAGAATCATCTGTATTTAAATTGTTTGAGAAGCTGTGCTTCATTAATTGGATGGAATGAAGTTTCTGTGATGAGAAAATGTTGCTTAATTGCATTTAAATCTTATTTGTTGAGCTAATCTACCACTAAAAGTTATATTTTATTTACCTAATTATGCTAAAGTAACGCTTTAAATAATTGTTAATAAGTTATATATTTTCCCTTAGGTCAAAGTTGAAATTAACACCAGAATCTTTGTATTTAAATTGTTTGAGAAGCTGTGCTTCATAGATTAGTTGAATAAATGTTTTAGGATGAGCAAATATTCCTAAATTGTATTTAGATCTAATCTACCTTGTAGAGTTAACTTTTATTTGTTTAACAATTACCCAGCACGTCTTTAAACAATATTAATCGCTTGCTTAGCTTGTTATAATTTTCTCTGACATTTTTTAAAACCACAAGCTATAGTTCAAGATAAAAGTGGTTTACTTGTTTTTACGGCTTCCTCCCTTTCTTTCCCTCATTTTTTAACAAATAGTTTGAGGCTTGCCACAGAGCAAAAAAACTTTCTAGTATTATGAATAAAAAATATATATACATTATCGATTGACCTGCCTGCCAAGAGCAGCGTAAAACTATTTTTTGCATATATTCCTCCATTAGACTTTTGCATCCCTTGGCCCAAAAAAACAAAAAACAAAAATAAAACTCGAGAAGCAACGACAGCCAGCGCGATTCTTTTATGAACATAAATTTTGAAAGCCTTTAATGGCGAGAGCCACATATTTTAGTGCAGCAAACCGCAGCTGTTGCTCCTATGAATTTTTGCAACATTTCTGCCCCCCTCTCAACCCTCTCCCTCCCTGCCTATTTTTGTTGTTGTTTTTTGGCTGCACAAATAAATTGCGCATAAATCGTGGGCAACATAAATTTTACATGTTGCCGGCGTGAGTTCGTAGACTGAAAACAAGTTGGAAATTATGTGAACGAAGCTGGGACATAATTTATGCGATCGGTTGGGGGGAGGGGGGTTAGGGGAAGGAGGCAATTAAAATATTTGTGCCACTAGCAAAATTTCCTTAATTAAAAAATATATATTTTAAAACTATGCAATTACGAGAGCAATCAGCAGAGTATAAGGAATAACTTTTTTATATTGGGTCAGTAATTAACTGAACTTTATCAGCAGTTTATTGCACTTTTTGGCTAACAACACAAACTGTAGAATATCTTTCTTATTTATTTATTTATTTATTTTATTTCTTCCAGCAGTCACGCGCCCGCAAAAACTCCACCAAAGCAAACAAACTGAATGCAGCAGCTGCATCAGCAACATCGCCTCGTCTAAGTCCAGTGCCGGCAGCAACACTGTTGCCGCAGCAATCGCCAAATACACCATCAGTAGCCGCAGCAGCAACAGGCAATCTGCAGCATCAGCAACAGCAGCAGCAGCAGCAATATCAGCAGCACCAGCAACTATTGTCGCAGCAGCAGCTCCTTTCGCAGCAACAGCAGCAGCAGCAGCAATACCAACAGCCGCAGCAGCAACAGCAGCACTTCCAGCAGCAGCAACACTTGCAGCAGCAGCAGCAACAGCAGCACGCACAGCAGCAGCAACATTTGCCACAGCAGCAGCACCAGATAACCGCACAAATCCAAACCATGAAGGATCAACCGCAACAACCCATGGTGAGTTAATGATATATTTTTAGATTACCCATTGATTTTTTTAATTAAAACAATTTTATTGAGAGCGTTTATAAAATTTATATGACATTTTTCCGGCGAATCAAAAGTTTAAAAACCTCATAACTCCGCCAAAATGCATTCAATTCAATTCGTAAGCTGCTCTGTGCTAGTTTTTACTAGTTTAACAAATCTGCATACTTAGTTAAACAAGTAAAAATTAATTTTGCCAAGTTTTTCCCGTTTCCTTTTTATGAAAAAATTGAACATTTTTGAAAAATATTTTTTTCTGCCGGAGATGGCTTAAAGATTCGCCTGTTGATGCTGATCAAGAATATATATAATTTATACGGTCGGAAATGATTCCTTCACAGTTTTACAAGCTTCTGACTGAAATTAGGGTATAAAAATATAAAGTCACATTTATAGCAACAATATAAATATTATTATTATAATTCCCAATAGTTTGTCAACTATTTAGTGACGCAAACACTGAAGCCATTGACAAATTCCCGCGATACTTTGGTTTCAATTTCAATTTCCATTCGATTTTCCAATTAAAAGCCATTGACCTTCGCAGCCTTTTTCCCGCTGCTAGTTCAATCAATTGGATTTCATTTCGTTTTCCGTTTCAAGGCAACCCGAGAGCAGAAGGCAAAATGCAAAATGTAAAATACAAAATATACAAAATGCAAAACACAGCAGCATTCAGGCTGGCAAACCCATAAATCCATTCAGCCACATTGCGTATACGTCACGTTGCCCGAGGCCCAATCAATTGCAGCTGTGTCCACACACTCACTCGCATGTTATAGAGAGTGTATGAAAATATACACATATATATCTGTATATATATATATCTGGAATCGCTCGTTCATTCATAAAGATTTGGTCGATTTTTATCAATGATTGGCTAAATGCTTTTTGAAAATAAAACCAAACCGCAGAGCAGAGAGCACACACACTCGCAGGTGCGGATGAAATTTCAGCAGCAAAAACAGGAAGCCATCGGCGAGGCAGTTGAACTTGCTATTGCTTTTTGTTTGTGTTTTTTAATTTTTCACATTTTATTTCGGATTTTATTGTTGCAAAACTCACCCCCAATACGGCTTTCACTTTCATAACGTTTTTTTTGCTGTTTCGCGTAGCTCGTAAAAATGCAAATGAAAACGGGTTGAGTCTGCCTTTGTTTTATTTCTCATTTTATTTTCCTCTTTTTTTAGAGGGGGAGGAGAGCTTTCCTGTTTATTTTTCCTAGCATAATTTGAGGCGTGTTAATTAACAACAACAACTACGGTTGCCAGTTGTGTGTACCGCGGAAGTTGTAACTCTCAGGACCTTCCTCTCTCTGTGGGTTCGAGTTGGAATGGGTTTACCACCAATTAGACTGAGCCTAATTAGGGCACACACAAAATATGATTTATGAAAGGCAGCTCAGCTTTCGGCTTTCGGCTTTCGGCTTTTGGCTTCATAATTCATTGTTTTGTAACTGTTTTTTATGGCCGAAATGTTTATTTATGAATGGTTGTGAAGGATCGCAGGAAGTGCCTTAGCTGCCATGGTGAGGGGAAGCTAATAAAACCCAGGCTCGGCTTCGTCTAGACCTGACTGGAATTAATGGGCAAATGTTTGTAGAATCCTGTAATAAGTCAACCAAGGAAGGAGTTGCCATAAGTCATTAAGAAATTTTAATGGAAATTAAACAAGAAACACATTTTCATAATGGAAATTGCAACGTTTTTTAGGAAGTTTGATGCCTAGATTACAGCAGGATGATGACTAAGAAACTTACCTTTAACATAAAACACTAAAAAGTTTCATTTACAAGTATTACCTTAAATAAAATGGAAATTTAACCTTTATTTTCTTTGTGTTATCCTTTCAGGCACCCATGGCCTTCTATCCCACATGGCAGGCGGATCCATCGCAGGGCTGGCAGAACCAGTTTATACAGCAGATACCACAGAACACACCGGCCATCACGTCCCTGAACTCACTGGACTTCCAGACGCAATCCTATGCCTATCCCTCGAACGGTTATGTGCAGTCGGGCCTGGGTTTCGATCCCAACTATGGACGATCGCCGTATGCGGCGCCTGTGCAACGCTATGACTTCCAGAGCCAACAGTTGTCCACGGGTCCCCAGGTGGGTCTCCAGAGTGTGGCGGGTTTTGCGCCCAGTTATGCCGGCCAGGTGACAGCAGCTCCAGTGCCGCCTTCGCAGCAGCAACAGCAGCAGCAGCAACAACAGCAGCAGCAGCAGCAACATTTGGGAGCGGAACTGAACAAGACGATGTCGGGAAACGACACGCCTGGATATCCGCGGGTGAGCAGCGTGCCGCCGCGCTCACTCAACTGTAACGGGTATTCAGGCGATTTCAGCGGTTCCAACAACACAACCACCAGCAATTCCAGCTCCAGCAACAACCCCAATAACAGCAACACCAGTAACTCAAATCCCAGCAATCCTGCCCCGGTCAGCGGTGGCACCACCACACCAGCACCGCCAGCGATAGCAGTGCCCCAGCCCGCCTCTTCGGTGGAGGCAGTGCCACAGTCGCCCACCCGCAGCAGCCTCCTCCAGCAGCAGCAGCATCAATCCCCCACAGGAAATGGACTGCAGCCCTATGTGGCTCCATCGCAGCAGCAGCAGCAACAGCAGCAGCACATTGCCTCGCCGCCAATGCAGGATTGGAACTGGAATGCCCAGCAGCAGCAGCAACAGCAGCAGGTGGGTGAGGGCTATCCTCAAGGCGAGCGGGTGCATCTCAACACTCGCATCAAGTCCATGATCATGCGCAAGAGTGATCCCAAGGATCCGCCGCCGGATCTGCAACAGCAGCAGCAGCAGTCAGTGCAGCAGCAAGTGCCGCAACAGCAGCAGCAGCAACAGCAGACCGGTCATTTTTTATCGTATAGCCACCATCTCCGACCCGAGGCGGCGCTGAGCGCCAATGGGCCGAGCAGTGTCACGCCCACCCATCCACATCCACTGCCCCTGCAGCAGCAACAACAGCAGCAGCAGCAGCAGCAGCAGCAACAGCAGCAGCAAGTGCAGCAACAGCAGCAGCAGCAGGTGCAGCAAGTGCAACAAGTGCAGCAATCAGTTGGTGGAGCGGTGACACCTGCCGAACCCATCGGAGGTGGTGGCGATCACATCTGGAAGCCGCATCACAGTAACTCCTTTAAGAAACCATCCGTTGTGAGCGGCTATCCCGAGCTGCAGCAACTGCAGCAACACCAGCCAGGACAGCACACGACCATCAGCCATGCATCGGATCCGCCGCAATCATTAGCCACACCCGCCACGAATCCCATCCAGACGGTGGTGGCGCCGCCCAAGAAATCACGCAGCCGGAGCAAGGCCAGCCGGGCGGCGGCAGCAGCGGCGGCGGCAGCCGAAGCAGCGGCCGAAATCGATCGAGATCGAAACTCCACAGATCCCGGAGGTGGTGGATCACTCAAACCACTCAGTGCCCACTACCCGCCGCATCCACACGGTGCCGGACCGGTGCCGCCTGGTCAGGACTACCAAGGGCACTACATCAAGACGGAGCCGGGACTGCTGGGACAGCCTAATAAGATGGAGGGCTATGAGCGTAACTACCAGAACTTCATCCAATACGCTGACTTCTGCCAAAACGATGGCCAGGGTCAGCCGGTGCAGCAGCATCATGGTCATGGACAGCAAGACTATGCCGGTTACCATCACAATTCCGCTTATTACGGTGCCGGAGCGAGTAGCTTCCAGCAGAACTTCCAGCAGAATTTCGTGCCCGGCTACCAGCACTCCACGTACGGGAGCAGGGCGAAACCGCCAAGTAATCAGCCTCAGATCCATCAGATTCACGGCCATGGTCAGAGTCTGATGGAATTGGATCGCAAGCCGGATACCAATAGCATCATACCACTGCCCACGAACTACGAGAAGGATATACCGGCATATCCCATACCGCCACACCGGTATGCCCTTGGGCATGGAGCTCCACCGCATCTCCATGGTCATCATGGTATGCTGGAACCCAAGCTGGAGGATATGGGCATGCTGGGTCATGGAGGAGGTTATGCCTATTTGGGGAGTGAAGGAAAACCCTTGAATAATGGCTTCTCCTGCTGTCGCCAGGGGGGCACACGACCACCCACAGCAGAGCATCTCAAGGATGGCACCTGCCTGGGCTTGGGTATACAGCCCAAAGAGGAACTCATTGATGAGGACGAACTAATCGATAGCCATGGCAATGGACTCAAGCCCGTGGTTGGTGCTGGAAAGATCAAAGGCAAACAGAAGCCGGACGAGATACCCGAGATTGTGGTGAAGCATGAGAAGATCAATCCCATGTTTGATACCACGGACAGATTGGAGAAGGGCAATAAGACGGAGATACCCGAATGTGAGTGCTTCCAGTCCGATAAGAATCCGCCAGAACCGGGCACCTACTACACGCATCTGGGTGAGTTTTCCTATTGAAATTTTTTAAATAACACTTTCAATTTAATTTAAATTTCTCTCCAGGCACGGCTTCCTCTCTAATGGAACTGCGTCGTGAGTTTGAGGAGCGATGCAATCTCACAGGTCGCCAGCTACGAATCGAGAAGATTGTCTACACGGGAAAGGAGGGCAAGACCTCGCAGGGATGTCCCGTGGCGAAATGGGTTATACGAAGGGCTGATCTCGAAGAGAAGATTCTGGTGGTGGTAAAGAAACGACCAGGTCACAGGTATGCTTACTCTAAATTAAGCACTTGACACGTGATTTATTTAAATGTAATATCCGCAGATGCATAGCTGCTTACATAGTGGTCTGCATGGTGGCCTGGGATGGAATGCCACGCTTGGAGGCGGACAATGCCTACAAGAATCTGATACCGAAGCTCAATAAATACGGTCTGCCCACCACGCGAAGATGTGCCACGAATGAGAATCGCACCTGTGCCTGCCAAGGTGAGTTGTTTTCTCAATACAAAAATTTATCAAAAGTCTAAAATAATTCCCTATTTATGCCAGGACTCGATCCGGAATCATCTGGCGCCTCGTACAGCTTCGGTTGCTCCTGGTCAATGTACTACAATGGCTGCAAATATGCCCGATCCAAGACGGTGCGCAAGTTCCGGCTGTCGGTTAAGAGCGAGGAGGCAGCCATCGAGGATCATATGAACCTTATTGCCACCTTGCTGGCGCCCGTGTTTAAACAGGTGTGTCCACGCTCCTACGACAATCAGACCAAGTACGAACACGAGGCCTCCGACTGTCGACTGGGTCTGGAGCCTGGTAAACCCTTTTCCGGAGTCACAGCCTGCCTGGATTTCTGTGCCCACTCGCATCGCGATCTACACAACATGCAGGACGGTTGTACGGTTCATGTGGCTCTATTAAAGCCAGGGAATCGGGATACCCGCCTGCCCGACGACGAACAATTCCATGTCCTGCCTCTGTACACGATGGACGGAACGGATGAGTTTGAAAGTGTCGAGGGGCAGAGGGACAAGCACCGCACCGGAGCGGTGCAAATGCTGGACAAGTGAGTGTACCGTTGAGTTTTGAGCAAACAGGCTCCAAGGATTTTACCATCGAACTGTGCTAATATATATTATATCCGTTTCCCAACAGATTCCCCTGCGAAGTACGAGTGCGATCGACCCCGCTGATACCCTGTCGAAGGCATGGCAAGAAGCGAAAGGACGGTGATGATGCGGCGCCGCCGGACGGTGACCAGGATGCCGTGGGCGATGGCAACAGCCAGAGCAGCTCCAGCAATGGAGCTCAATCGCAAACGCAGGCCAACAGCAGCAGCAGCCAACAGAGTAGTCCACCTGCCCTGGGCGGAGCTCACATCAAGAAGGAGAACGCCAATGGCAACGCCGGAGTGGCGGCCAATGGAGCGAGTGGCAAGGCAAAGGCCAAGGGCAAGTCCAGTCAGTCGAATAACTCCAGTGCTTCCACGCCGGGATCGGCGCCACCCTCAACGCCTTCGCCACGGTGCCAGACCCCAGTGACGAATAATCCCAGTCCGGCGGGCAGTGCTTTCAGTACGCCGCCAGTTCATGCTGGCAATGCCAATCCCAACACCAATCCCAATGCCAATCCTCAGAGCAACGGTGGCCAGACGCCCGGTCAGCCTGGCCAGCTAATGAGCTCGAATTCGAGTCTCATGAACATGGCCACCATGATAGACACCTTCACGGACGCCCAGCTGCAGTCCAACCAGATCTCGAGTACCGTCCTGGACTCACCCTACTCGTATGACTACCAGACGGGCTCCTATATCGACTCCAGGAACTACTACGGCAACTGGCCAACGCCACATGCTCCCATGGGCATGCAGGCGCAGGTGGGTGCCGCCGGTGGTGTGGCAGGAGCAGGAGCAGGAGCAGCGGGCGTGGGAGCACCGCCACTGACACCAACAACGCCTACGGCACAGCCTCAACTGGGAGGACCACCTGGAGGAGGAGGAGGAGGATCAGCAATTCCAGCAGGAGGAGGAACTTCAGTGGGAGCCCCACCAGGAGCCATTCCCCAAGTATTCCCTCCGCAGTCACGCCCACGCAGCTAGAGACAAGCAATGGCTATGGCCCCGCCAGCTATCAGACATTAGTTGGTGGAAATCCCTCCGGAAACCTAAGCAATCCAGGTGGCGTAGCCACCGAGGTGCAGCAGCAACAGCAGCAGCAACTCCAGCAGGCGCAGCAACAGCTGCAACAGCAGCAGGGACCTGGTGCCACACTCGTGCCCGGTGGTGGCCTTCCCGGTGACCTTAAGAGCCGCCTGATCAGCGGAGAAGAAAATCCCGATTCAACCACTCTGGTGAATCACCATCACACCGCTCACCATCCCAATCTGACGGAAAGCAAACTGACCGCTTTGACGGCCATGCAGCCGATGAGCGCAATGACACCGCTGACCACCTCGCATCACCATCCGCAGGAGGGATTCGTGAAGCCCAAGCCACCGCCCAGCGACTACACGGCCCAGTACACGGCGCAGTATCCAAATAACTACCAGATGTACCCGCCACCACCGCCGCCGCCACACTCGGCGTACTCCGCCTACGATGCGTATCAGAATATGAACTATAACTATGGATACCATCACCAGGCATACTCACCCTACGGTATGTATCCGCAGCAGACGCCACCGCCCACGCCGCCACCTCCGTCACCCAACTGGAACATGTATGGGCATCATCAGACGGCAGGTTCTGGCTATGGCGGTTCGGGAGGAGCTCCTGGTGGAGCCAGTGCGGGTTCTCTGATCGCCTCCCATGGATCAGTGGCTCCTGCAGCGGGTGTGGGCCTGCAAAAGCCCAGTATACCGGCACCTTCTCCATTGCATCATCAGCAGCAGGTTCAGCAGCAGCAACAGGTGCAACAGCAACAGCAGCAAGAAGCCCCGCAGACAATATTACCCGACTTGAGCAATGGCCAAAGCAGCGGCGATAACGTAGTTACACCCACACCTGCGGGTGAAGCGCCCAATAGCGATGCGGGCACAGGATCAGGTGCTCCGTCATCCGGAGCAACGGCAACGGCGCCGCCTGCCGGTTCTCCGGGCAGTACGAACACCAGCAAGATCGAACCCATCGGCGAGGTGGCCGAGATCAATGAGAATATCGAGGCTTTCCAGGATCCACAGATGGGTGGCGTGGCCATAGCTCTGAATCATGGCAGTGTGCTAATTGAGTGTGCCAAGCACGAGATGCATGCCACGACGGCGGTGCGTAGGCCAGATCGGCATCATCCCACACGGATGACCCTGATCTTCTACCAACACCGAAACCTCAACAGATCGCGCCACGGCATCGATGAGTGGGAGGAGAAGATGCGGGTGAAGAAGATCAACACGGATCTGGACAACAAAGCCAAAGAGGAGCGCGAACGATTGATTAAGAAGGCAGCTGGCGAGGATCTGGATGATCTCGATGAGGATGCCATGATGCAGGACGAACTGGCCTCGCCAGTGGTCAAAAAGGAATCCTCCACATCCGCGGCCAATGGACAGCAGATGAAGAACGGAGCCAGTGGCAGTAAAAAAAAGAAGGGAAGCTCAGACTCAAAGAAGTCGCAATCGCAATCCAGTGAGCAGTCAAAAAACGAGAAGGTTGCCCTCCACGCACCAACACTGACGACTACGTCGTGGACGACCCTGTTCCCCATGCATCCGTGCGTGGTTACGGGGACCTATCCGGAGGGCAATAGCAGTCCGACCTCGTCCACGAACGCTCCCAACGGTGGTGGCCCGCCGCCATGTCCGCCTGGCAATGGGCCAGTCCCGCCGCCCATCACCACTGGTCCAGGAGCACCGCCCATCCCGCAGCAACAGCAACAGCAGCAGCAGCAGCCAATGCAGCAGCAGCAGACCTGAATCTGCTCCGCCTGAGGAGCTACTACTGGTAACTGGAAGCTCCCTAAAGGTAGCGCTAATCATAAGCATTCACACTAACTCAGCCCTGTTTTTGGCTTTCAATTCCGACCTGAATGGGTGGAAAAACATTTTTAATAATTTTGAAAATCAAATTATTCAAGTTTATTTAATATGTTTGAGGTTTTGTTGGTAAAGATTTAGAAGACTTTAAAACTACATAAAGCCAAAAAGTAAATATTAAAGTAATTAAAGTTGTTCCAATATTCCAAATCCCCTAAATTTTTATCGAAATGGAAACTAGGAACAGGGCTGTATGACTGAATATTCACAAAGCAAAGAAATGAAACGGTGGCCGGAGAATTAATTATTTTTGTAAACGCATCTGATTTCGTGTGCCATAGGAGATGAGGAAGAAAAGTCCCTAAAAAAATAAGAAAGAGTTGCAGTCGAAAAATAAGAGTTGATGTTGCCAGGCCAGATTTGTCACCATTCCACAGAAAAAAAGAAGCAAAAACAATTAACTCTCTATACGAAAACACAGCAAAAATCACTCAAAAATAACAAGTTTCTAAACTGATAAATGCAGCTAGTTTAAATATCAACTATTAACTTTAGTTTCTTAAGACAATTTCTGTTAAATGAGTTATTTTTTACAAAACAAAAATCACTACGAGCAAACAAAAAACTACAGAACAACAGCAAAAACGAATACTACTAAAAACAAAAACCAAAACTAAAATGAAAGAAAAAGAAAGCATATTAAGAGTTAGTGGAAATGTTGAAACAAAAGAAAGATCATTGCCAAAAGTACAAATAAACCATTTTTTAAACAAAAAAAACGCAACTAGAAAAACGTAAAGAATTTCGCAAGACAACAAATGAAAATAGTTGGTAAACCCAAAAGCCGTTTTTACAATACACTACCAGAGTTTTAAATTTAGTTCAATTGCATTATTCCTATTCAACAATTTGACTATCCTTTGGGATTGCCTTCGAATTAAGTACAGTCTCAATCGAATTTGAATTGATCAATGAAAGAGAGGGCGAACCTCCAAATTTATCTCTTTCTTGAATGCGTTATTTAGCACTCAAACTTTAGATAAATTTGGCATAAGCTCTGCTGATTTACCGTTATAAACCAGACCATTCACTCACACCCACGAATAGAAAGCGCAGTTTGAAATGGTGCGGGTTAGAGCAGGACAACTAGAGGAACTACAACTAGAGAAGAATTGAGAGGATATTGAGTGTGATGAAAGGATATTTTTGAGATTGAGGGAAAGAGACAAACCGATAGAGCGGTACATGCTCCATAGAGAGGAAAGAAAGAGATGGACAGAAATGTAAGGCAGCAAGACATTTTTTTAAAACATTTATAATAATTTAAACTAAGTTTAAGCAAAAATACATACACACAAGCGAAAGTTATATATTTATTTATGCGCCCAAAAATGTTAAGCAAAATGGAAGGCAAAAAAAAACATAATAAAGCAAAGGGTTAATTCTAGTTATTATTATTTCTGCAAGATTTAGTTTCAAAGGCAAAAAACCCAAAAAAGACTCGAAACCAATCAAGTATTAAGCACTAAACAACCAACAACTAATACTAAAACTAAACTTATTTGCCTAACCAATTTGTAATTGTTGTATAAAAAATTCAATGAATGATTTGCATCCATCCAAAAAACGTAAAATACAATTAACGATTAATGCAAATGTGGCAGCGCAACTGAATTTCAAATCAAATTAGTCTAAAAAATAAAAAGAAAACAAACATTATACATATAAATATATTTTGCACAAAACAAAAGAAATGAGAGGAGATGAGAAGGAAAGCAAGGATAAGCAAAATGAAAACGGTTATTGATAAATACGATTTTTAATTTCGACTACATGTCCGTTCATGTCAGATCGTATATGTAAACTGTACGCGTAAGGTGCGTACTGTACGTAAATGTAATGTAAATGTAAGGCAGCGAAGAAGACTTTTGAGCAACAAGAAAAAACATGTTTTGATAAATATTTAAATGTTTATATAAATATATATATATATATTAATATAAATTATGATAATTGATAATTGATTAACTGATTACGATGCAAGCCAACAGCAACTATTATAGTTTGTAAATGCTTTTTTTATCATTTTCAAATAAAAGCAAATCTTTTGCCATTTATAAGTTACACACACCTCACCCGACTTTTGAGTTTAGCGGGGCGCCCAGCAACACTTCTATATATAGTATATATAGTATGTAAAACCATACACATATTGGCATATGATAAAGCAAACAAAAACCCAATTAAATCGAGCAGCATAAGTATTAAGTGGAAATCAGAAATCAGAAAAGAACAAAGATAAGGCACGCACTCACTCCCGATATGGAGGAACATGATGGGTGCGGAATCAGCGGAATATACGATATAGCGATGATACATACATACATATTGTAAAACGATACACAAAAACCCAGAACGTATATACAGAATGATGGATGAGAAAAAGCAAAAAACATAAATTATATTTATTTAAAGTACGCGCATGGAAAGCAAACAGATATTAATATTAAATAAAACAAAAAACAAAGTTAAACTCGCACAACTGCATTTTTTCTTCTTTGGTAATTGAAAAAGGGTTAAGACCAGAAAGAAAGCTAACAACCCTTGGCAATTGGATCTGGGGGCTAAATCTGAATTGAGAACTAAGACAAAACCGCATTAAATTCAATTCAGAAAGCTTTTTTATATGGGGTTTTATAAGGTTTACAAATAGCACTTATAGTTTCAGATTTTAAAAATTAATTTTTAAATTGTTGACAATTTCTCTCAAAAAAACCTAACTTCGGAAAGCCGAATTTTATACACATACATTGGTCTTTGCCAATGAATTATTGGATAGAATCTGAAATCTATCATAACTAAGCTTATAATATTTACATTCTTTTCAATATATTTATATGAGAATTTTTTCGACAATTCAAAGTTTCAAATATTCATAACTATGCCAAAACAGCATTAAATTCAATTCGGAAAGCTGTTCTGTGCTATTTTTTATTAGGTTAACAAATCTGCATACTAAATTAAACAAATTAAATATTCCAAATTTTTGGCCAATTTTGCAAATTTTTATACCCTTGCAGGGTATTATAATTTCAGTCAGAAGTTTGCAACGCATTGAAGGAGGCACCTCCGACTATATAAAGTATATATATTCTTGATCAGGATCAACAGCCGAGTCGATCTAGCCATGTCCGTCTGTCCGTCTGTCCGTCTGTCCGTCTGTCCGTCTGTCCGTCTGTCCGTCTGTCCTTCTGTCCGTCTGTCCGTTTCTACGCAAACTAGTCTCTCAGTTTTGAAGCTATCTAAATGAAACTTTGTAGTTAGCCTTCTATATACTCTCACTCGTATATATGTCGGAACGGGCCGGATCGGACGACTATATCATATAGCTGCCATAGGAATGATCGGAAAATTTTTACAAAAAAATTTTTAACTTTTTCAGTTTTAAATAGAATTGGATCAAATTTGAGATATAGCCATTTTACTATACTCTACAATTTTGCATATAATTTTATGAAAATCGGACTACTATATCATATAGCTCCCATAGGAACGATCGAGAAATTAATACAATTAAATTTATAACCTTTTCAGTTTTCAACTGATTTTCATCAAATTTTAGGTATAGGCATTTTATATTAGTCTTAAATTTTGTGTCAAATTTCATGAAAATCGGACTATTATATCATATAGGTGCCATACAAACGATCGTTTGATGTAGAGGAAAAATGCAAGTCTTTGAATGTAAAACTGCAAGTATAATATGTATAGGTGAATACAATGAAAGCAGGTATTACTTCACTGTTTTTTAACACAAATATATATCATTTCTATAGTATGGTTTTTTATTGATAGAAGTTCTATCTGCAAGGGTATATAAACTTCGGCGTGCCGAAGTTAGCTTCCTTTCTTGTTTTAATGATGTAACCCCTTATCATTTTTTCAGATTTTGGCCAAATTTGGGCAAAATTGTTTTTCGCCCGGAGTGATCAGGATCGACGCAGTTTTTTGTGCTGATCATGAATATATATGGTTTATAGGGTCGGAAAAAACTCCTTCGATGTGTTTTAAGCTTCTGACTGAAATGAGAATCCCTGTTTTGGGTATAAAAAATAAATGGGAACAGTCATTTCGAAGTCCAAATATTAATACTCTTGTATCGTTTAGAAATGTATTATCTTTTCCGTATCTATTCTATTAATCCATTTATCATTATTGTATTTAAATATAGTATTTTGTAATGCAGATTTATTTTCTAGATAAATTCCAACAAAAAAACAATATAATTGGTATGGATTTTATTGGAATTTTTTAATACGAAAATTTTGCGACAAATCAAATTAAAAAAAACTCATAACTCAGTCAAAAATGCATGAAATTCAATTCGGAAAGCTGTGCTAATTTTTATAAGGTTAACAAACCTGCATACTTAGTTTAAAATGTTAAAATTATCAATTTTTGGCAAATTTTTTCAAATTTTAATGATTTCAGATTTTTTTACCTATAATACCAACTCCTATAAAATATAGTGTTCCATAAGAGGTTACGCCCATCGACCTCCACAAGTCCAATAAAAAGGAAACTAGGTTATTATTATATTTTATTACTAAATTTTAATGGAAAACAATTTTGTCCGAGTACAAAAACATCCTGGTCGAAAATCTTATTACAATTTCAAGGCAAACATCGAATTGCTTCTTAGTTTTTAATTTATATTACTTTCATTTGAATCCAATAAACCTGTAGAAGTCACCGCAAGTTAGTTAAAATAATTTTTTAACTTTTTGGTGGGCTTTATTCAGACAGCCAAAGACTTTAGATGGATCTAAAGTTTTAATTAGACATAACCAGACTTTTTTTTTTGAAAATATATATGAAGTCTTTAATGCGGCAATGCGGAATGTGCGTTTGAGTCGTGAAAAATTGTATTTCGGGCCAAATAGAGCCTTTAAATCTATCTATAGCCTAATTATTTACATCGAACATCGTTAAGTACATGGCAAGTGATTCCAATCGCTACGTTGCATGTGCAGCGATTAAAGGTTGAGCACCAGCTCCTTGGAGTAGTCGTCCAGCGCCGTTTTGTTGAACGAGCCGAAATTCCACTGCATGTACACATTGCCGGCATCGCATCGGTTGACCACCACCTCCTGGGTGAAGGGCAGCAGCTCCAGGCACCGCTTGCCATCCGTGCCGTGCTTCATTAGCTTCGTGTGATAGTCGTAGTACCAATACTGATTGCCTCCTTGGCCATGGCATTCCCACAGCCAAATGGGCGCATTGGCATCCCAGATCTGAACATCGAGGCACTCCTTTTTCCGCCGCAGTCGCAAATCTCGCTTCCAGCTCAGCTCCCAAAACTGTGTCTTCTGCGGCGTCTTAATGTCATCGGCACAAGCATACATTCCCATGCGATTGTGCTTCTTCCTGCCCATCGTGTCCATGCAGAGACGATCATTGCCCACATTCTGTAGGGCTCCCAGTGCGTACGCTGGCGGATCTATGGGGGGATAGGTCTTCATCAAATCGAAGGCAACCTCCTCCATGAACCACTTGAAGGATTTGCATTTTAGCTTAGTGCGAATGGCCTTCTGAGCGGTCAAGTCGCCGGCATCTACGCGCTCGTAGAGACCATCCCCGTGGCTATACAAATAGTTCTTGTACTCATCCATCCAAACCTCAGCCACGCGTTTGTAGTTCTGCAAAATAGAAATCAGGAAAGACATTGTAGTTGTGTAAATATAAAAACAATACTAATCTGTCTTAAGCTTAAAAATAACTTCACACTCTATAATTATCTTTGGAAATATATACCTATCTAAATTTACAACCAAAAGACTGATTTGGACAAGTATCTATTAAATCAATAAACAAGTTAGGTTAGCAACCGACAGATTGACGTTTGTGTTAGTTTATGATGATCCGATATATAGAATTTAAAATAGGAAAACTGGTTTTTGGTGCTAATGATGCTCACAAATTCATTACAGCTTTCTTTCTATTCCTAGACTTCTTTTAATTTATACCTTTTATTTTTAGAGGTGAAATTTGAATTTATTAAGGAATTTAAGTATTAAATATGATAGTATAAGAAAATTAAATATAAACCACTATATGACAGCTAATTAACGCTTAAAAAACATAAATCTAACTCACCCTATGCAGATAATCGCCCTTTCGTGGACTCGGCTGATGATTCCTTGGACCACGATATATATGTCCGATGCGGGAGCATGGAGCATCGTACATCTCACCACCGCACATCCAGATCTTGAAGCTCAATTCATACTGCTCACCGCCCCAAATGTCCAGTCCCTCGTCATAGCCGCCCAGTTCCCAGAAGAACTCCGTGGATATGGCAAACAATCCGCCAGCCATGACAGGGCTTTTGAATGGATCCGCTGGATGCTTCAGATCCTCGTCTAGCAGCGGCAGCCTCTTGTAGAAGAACTCCCAATCGAAGGCACCACGTGCCCCCTCGTCCTGTGCCCGATACTGGAAAGTATCGTGGGCAATAACATCAATGAAGGGACACACTGCCGTACGCTTGTTCAGTGCAATCGGTTCCAGCAACGGTGGTAGCCAGTTATAGTTGGCCTCCACATGAGAGTCCAGAAAGATGAGGACCTCGGCTGTGGCATTTCTAGCTCCCTCCGAACGGGCTCCGATTAAGCCTGTGCGCCTGGGCAATCGCACAACTCGGACAATAATGAAGTGATCCTTAATGTATGCCTCCAGATCATGACCCAAATAAGCACGATCACTGTGATCGTCCACCAGTATAATCTCCTTGAGCAGCTCCGGCGGTGAACGATTGATAAGACTGTGCACGGATCGCATGAGGACGCTCAGGTATTCGTTGTAAAAAATTATGATCACACTAACCGTGGGTAGCTTGGTTACATACTCCTTTTTGTGACACCTAAAAATGTTGATAGTTTGGGTAATTAACGAGTCGAGAGAAAATGGAAGAAATTAAGGGGTTTCATTGGAAAATTCCCAAAAAGAAATAAGCATCTAAGTCGCAAATTTCTTCGTTTCTCGGGGTCCCTTGATATTTTAATTACTACCTTATCAGAGCTACTGAACAACCAGAAAATGAATTCCCAAAATTACTCACAGCTTATGACGGATGTCGGGCACAGATCGGTTGACCGATATGGAGTCGGAGAGCAGGGCATTGAAGCCGTTCTCCAGGGACATTCGGTGCTCCACATCGCGCTGCGATTCGTCGTCCAGACTAGCCGGTTTACCCTTCTCGCCGAGGCCCACACGTAAAGCATCCCTGGCCATGGCCGTATAGTCGTGCCAATCCTTCTTCACCGTCGTATCGACGGGCGGTGCCACCTGCAGTATTTCATTCTCTGACTGCTTAGCGGTCCGCGGATTTTGCACATTCTCCTGCTCAGGTTCGGGCTCGTCGATCTTCTGTAGCTCAGCTTCAGCTTCAAAGTCAGGTTCTGGATCGTTTTTAGGCTCGGGCTGCTTGTGTTTTACTACTGGCATCTTCTGAACGCCACCCGAACGTGCTGCGGCCTCCGGGACAGGCTCCACGCCATGATGTTCCGGTTCCGGCTCAGCGCCATGATGAACCACCTTGTTGGTGTACGGACTGGAGGAGATCCAGCTGGTGATGAGTATGAACAGCGTGAGAGAGACGAGCACCAGTAGGGCCGTCTTCACGATCCATTTGAGATTGGGTCGCCGCATCTTGGCCGGATAGATATCCGTGCGGTATCCGTGGTTACGTGTCCGTTACCCGAAGCTCTTGGGTTCTCATGGAGTGCAGCTAGTACTCCCAATTGATAGCGGCGACCTCGTGTGTTTGCTCAGGTGCTTCTCCAGCTGTTTCTGGTGGCCTAGTGGTTAGAGTATATCAGCTGCAGACGTGGTTTACCCTCGGACAACAAAAAAATCTAGAATTACGTCAAAGAGAAAAAGATTAATAAACGTGAGTTCAGGGGCATATCGAAAATGCAGGGTACAAGCGGGTATATTCAGGGTTATTTTGTATTTAATGTTTATTAAATAATTATAAAGCTAAATAAAATAAATGAATTTCTTACCTTTTTTATAATATTCAATATGAAAATGACATAGTTTTCAAAGATTCCTGAATTCTTTAATTTCTAAGTGTGGAAATATATCAAATATATTTAACAGCTTTTCATATGTACATTGTATCGAGTGCTCACTGTATATATCTTTGAGTGGCACAAAAATAGACCAACCAAACAAGGGGAAAAAACATAGATAAGAGAGACATTTCAATTTGGAAAGTTGAGATAAAAACTTCGGTTGGAACAAGCACTTAAATAACTTCCGGTTAACATTACCTTATCGCGAATATTTATGTCATAAATAACCAATTGCCTTCTTCAATTTGTATTGTTTATAATGTTGACTAATTTTATGGTTTTAAAACAGGTCAAAACGTCACCACCGCCAGGTGAGTGTGTTTCTTATCAGAAAAGATTTTTGCGGCCAAGTATCTTGCATTTTCTCACCTGTCCGTGTGGCAGTGCTTGTCTTTCGCTTTGCTCTTCAGGTAGTTTGGGTTGAATTAACTTATTAACATAGCAAAACAATAGTTTGCTTCCACGTCCGCGGAAATGTTTTTTCTTTTCGTTTTTTTTTTGGCTCTGTTTGCTGCCGTTGGTGCTTCTTCTTGGAGGCGCGCTGTTCTAATGCCGTTCGCAGCAGTTGTGGCTTCTAAACAGCTGTTCGTTTAGCCATTCACCACGAATAAGAGACTTTAGCTTCAGTATTTTTAAAATTTAAATTTTTAAGCTTTAAAAAATACTAATTCACTATTTCTCTCGTCAACCATAAATTTAACACTAAATTCTAACAATTTTTAGCTTTATTGGTTCTCTACAATTGCTTTTCAAGGTTCATGTTTAAATTTTTAACATTTTTTTGACTTCTTCCTTGTATTTTGCTAAATTGTACTCGTTCTCTCCCTCGTTTATTAATTGCTCCACACACTGCGCATAGGCGGGTGTAGGGGAGAGCTTACTATCGCCCTCCTTGGCATTCCAGTTGAGGATGCCCTCGGCTGCGATCTTAGATTGGTTGCGATCGAACAAGTAGACTTCCATGTCTGCCTCCGACTTGGTTGCCTCCCAGGGCTCGGTTATGAAGGATTCGTGGTAACAGGCGGTTAGCAAGTACATAGCATAGTCGTAGTTCTGCTTCCTCTGGGGACACCGGTCTGTGACGAAGGTGACAGTGTCCGTGTCCCGGTTGTAGCGGTCGCCCACGAGGCGCAGGAACTTATCCCTAGCATGGGCATCAAACTTCAGATCGGAGAGCTTTAGCGAGATAGTGACCCTTCGCGCCTCCAAATTCCTGATTGTTGGCAAGCTCTCTAGGTAGTCTGTGGTGATGACTTCGACGGGAAAGTGACGCTGCCACTTGGCCTCAGTTTCCAGGCCCTTAGGCCACGGACTGCAGAACTTCTTAATGGCCTCGCACTGCTGGCGAATGGCCGGCGGTGTCAAGTGCAGAAAGTTGGGGATTTTCATAAGCTCCGCATTGGCGAACTTTGAGGGAGCTGCCGCCCCACGTTCCGTAAAGCCCTGCCGCAGTGGCAGCGGCACACTGGCCGGATGGAAGGATCTGGGTGCTGGCCACGCGGCGGTCCAATCCTGGTCCACGGCCATGCGGTTGGTGCGCGGCGGGGTCACAGGATCGCGCCTTACCTCCCGTCGTCGCTGGATCTGCTGCTTTACGCTACGCAGATTCAAAACACGGAACTCTGCGAACACAAATCATTTTTGGTTTATTTTTATACATTTATTCGGATTTGTTTACCTTCTTCATTGTCAACTTCTGGCTGCTGCTGGGAGAAGACACGGATGCTGCTCTGTGCCACCTGTTTTTTAAGGGGCAAGCGCTCCCACACACGAGTCAGGGCTGTTGACATATTTATTCACTAGAATTATTCCGCTTTTATTATTTATCTTTCGGTTATTCTAAATTTTATACAAAAATTAGCACCGGCCTTTACGTAAACCATGCGCCAGATTGCCATTCGCCCCGAAATAGTTTAAATCGATATTTTTCCTTAATAAATTCAAATTTATATCGATATTTGCTCAGCTTTTTTTTAAAATCAAATTTAAAAAAGCTGGAGTTTGAATTCCACAACGGAAGGCAACCAATAAATCTTTTTATATACACTTTTATTTTGGTAAAATAATAAAAAATATAACTTTCATGTAAATATGGCTTAATAAAAAGGATAAGTTGAATCACACCCATTCCGGAATCATCATCACTTGGCATTCCTCGTCCCGCCTTGTGCTTGCTCTCGCAGCTCCTCTTATATACATTACATTATTTTGTAAAATATTGTTAGTAAAACAATAGAAAACATTACATTATTGTGTTGTAAGCCCCGTGTGAACTATAGCTATCGTAAACCTAACTTCCTTTTAGTGGATCTCCTGCTTCCACTTGTCACGGGCCTCCAGCTTGGCCTCCGGCACCAGCGAGCTCTTGGCACCGCCCAGAATATTGGTGGTGGCTTGGGTGGCCAGCACCGCGGGGCAGACGACGAGCTGAGGGATTTGGCGTACTACGGCGCCCACAGCTCCGCTGTAACCCTTCTGGTCGTGCTCCGTGATCGCCGCTTCGATGAGTGTGTTGGCCGATTCGTTGATGCCCTCTCTCACTATGGTGTAGGCATTGGCCACGCCCTCTCGCAGATCCTTGGGTCGTCCCTGGCGTCGTCTCTTTCCTCCATTCCGTCCGCCCTTTCGCTTCTTCAGGGATGGCCCCGCCGAGAGCATATCGAAAGTAGTCTCCGCCGTAAATTGCAGCAAATGTATGATCCTGGAGGTGATCTCCAAGGCAGCCAGAGCTGTGCGAGCTGTGAAACTCTGTGCGCCCAGCTGGAAACCTCGAATAATCCGGCCATCCTTGTTGTACTGCTCGATAGGAAGCCGGAAGAGGTCGTAGACGCCCTGGAAGAGCTGCAGGACCGCATTTGTGGGTCCTATGCCGCTCAGGATGTTGGGCAGCTGGTTACGTTTGATGTCCTTCAGCCACTCCTTGGCCAGAAATTCGCACAGTTTATTCCAGCCGAGGATGCCTCGACGATTGACGATCTCACGCAGGCAGATGCCAGATCCCTGGAGCTGAGCCAATCCCATAATGAGTCCGGTGACAGGTCCGCGCGACAATTCGATCCGTCTACCATGGTAATCGAAGCAAATGGGCAGCGCCGGACTGAAGATCACCTCGCGGAAGAACACAGGCGAAGTGGTGGCCGGATCCTCCTCCAACTCCGTGTCCAGGCTGTTCTCCTCAATCAACACATTCAGATTCCGCTCGACCATCTCCTTGACTTCGGACTCGGCGGGCAGCTCGTCGGATAGATCATCCGGTAGCTTACTAACCGACATCACTGGCATGTCTGTTGAATTGGAGGAGGCACTGCCCGCCGCTTTGCTGGAGGAGCTGCTGCTGCTGCTAGAATTCCGGAACATGCCCGAAAAGAAGTCCTCGAGGAATAGAAGAGTATCCTGGTCGATGTTTAGTTTGATGGGCAGAATGGAAACGCGCAGGGAACACTCCTCGGCGCTGCTCTTCTGCGGATTGGGACGCACATTCAGAGCCTTCACTATCACCATATTCTCGTCCGGTTTGTGGGACAAATTGTTGCCAGCGGGATGGTAGAGAAACTTGTTAATGTCCGAGGAGCGCAGCCGATCCCTGATTTCGATTTCCGATACCAGGAGCACTTGACGCGACGAATAAATGGATGTCAGGGGATAGGTTTCGTAGGAAAAGCGAATCTTCGACAGCTGGATCTCCACCAGAACTTCCAGATTGCGGTTGGAGCCCTTGGGTTCTTTGGGCAAACCCCTCCTCGAGCCCTTTCGCTCCGGTTTCTCTTGATCCTGTGCCTGGGACACGCCATACTTGTACGTATCCGACATGCCAAAGCCACTGGAGGCGGCGGGAGCGGACTTCTTTGGCGATTCATCGGGGAAATCCTGTCCGCCATAAAGATGCCACGTGAAGGTCATTTCGCAGAGGGTATAACTGCTCTCGGCCACCGGGAAGTTGGCCGGAGGTCTCAGCAGATCCACCTTTTCGTGAGGCAGGCAGAAGTGATTGTCAACAATCTGGAGCGGCTCCTCGGAGACGTAGATCTGCTTGACACCGAACTTGTCCATGCCCGAGATCTCCTTGTCGTGGATTATATCGAAGTCGCGTTCCTCCATTAAGGATCCGTTACACAGTGATCCCAGCTCCAGCTGCACCTCGGTACCTAGACCAGTCTGCGGCTGCTGGACCTGACTCTGTTCGTAGTAGGACTGCAAGATCACGTTCGACTCAAAGTCAAGGATGTCGCCAATCACCGATGGACTCTCCACCATCAGGGATTTACTCTGCGGCTTCACAGGCGTTGATTTTCTCTTCTCCTTGGGCTCATCCGGAAAGTAGAAGATCTCGATGCCTTCCTCTCGCCCTCCTGGTGACTTGGTGGCCTTGGGATTAGGCGAGCACTTTACATCCATTACGGCATCGGCCATTAGTTTGTTCACATGGTTTTGGGTTTGATCGCTAACCTCCTGATCTTCAAACGACTTGGGCTCAGTGTGTGCAGCGTCCTCATTCAGAACGGGTTCCTCGGGCGGTGGTGTCAGGTCCCTGTCGTTGGCCACATAAGCTATAAGCTGAGCCAGAGCCGACGCCGAGTCGTAGCAGGTCTTCAGGTGCATGTCGTGAATGGAGGAGCGAAGATCCACGCGTGGCTGCCCCTTGCCCTCGTCGTTCAACCTGAAGGATATGTTAAGTAGGCCAAGATTAAGCACGGGGATCAGAGCGTCTTGAGGCGCCTTGGCCCAGCCCAACTGGAGTACACAATCCTCGGCCAGGAGCCGCAGAGTACAGCCGCTCATGGAGGATATAATGTTGCTGCTCAATGTGCAGTAGCCCAGGTCCAGGAACGCACGTTGGGGGAAAAATCTGGGGCGGTAGTCGATGCCGGCATTCCACACATGCAGCTGCAGCTCGGAGACCAGGGCAAACGGCTCGTACTCCTCGATGGGAAAATCAGCCACGTCCATGAAGTCCATGAGTTGATTCAGCCAACTGTGCTCCGAGTGGCACGAGTGATGCTGCAGGATGGCTCCCGTGATGCCAAATGACATCTTCATGCGCTTTATCCGCTGCTCCGGTTGCTTCTTGATCTCTGCCACAACCGATAGAACCTCCAGTCTCCTCCTGTCCCCTGCTTCCTGCTGAGACTTTGGGAAATTGTGGATGGTGGGTAGAAGGTTCTTGTCCGGTACATCACTCCAAGCTAACACCAAATCTTGCTGAGTGTTGCCACAATGCAGAGCCTCAATCTCGCCCAGCTGGATGCAAAAGAAGCTTCTATTCGCATCGTTATCCAGGCCATTGACGGTGAAGAGACGCAGTTCCTTGAGATTCACCTGGAACTTGCCGCACTCCTTGGCCCGCTGATTAGTCTCGGGATCCAGGAAGTGAGAGAATAGGATCAGAGATCCCTCCTCCACAAACAGCTCGAAGGAGAAGGCTTCATTGGGAACCTTAGCTACAGGAGTCGGGGGAGAAGGACCAGAACCCGGCAGCGTCGTCTCCGCCATTGAAAAGTAAATGCTGCTCTCCATGGTGCTCGTACTTAGGAGTTGGTTCCGCCGGAATTCCTCCAGTTGCGGCTCAGCCGCCAGGTGATTGGATTCTCTCGGTTCCCCCTCCAGATTGCTTTCGTAGTGCGGCGAACGGGGCTCCCACATAAAGAGATCGCCATTCAGTCGATTGTATATCAATTCATACATACCCTTGGATTCCAGCACCACCTTGACCAGCGGAATAAAGGCGAAGATCTTCAGCTTGGAGGACTGGGTGCAGCTATCGCAGAATTCGTTGATCTCCTCCGTGTCGCCGGGCAAAAGGGAATCTGTTTTATCAAAACTACTGTCCAATCCCTCGACGTGTGACGTATAGCCGAAGGTACACTTTGAGCTGAAGGGCGACTTCCGCGTTGGCTTCTTTGCCCGGCCATCACTGCTCTCCTTGAACTGGAGCACATCGATTTGAATCTTCTTGTTCGTCTGCTGGCATCGGAGCAAATGCACGGCACTCTGCTTGTCCGCATCACAGTAATACGCGTCCAGTTCATCCGAAGCAATGCTAATCTGAGACCTGAAGCTGACCACCAGGACGCGAAACTCCAAAGCGAGAAAGTCCTGACGCACATTCTTCTGCCACCAGGGAATCTTCTGCGGATCATTGGCCGCCCTGCCGTCTACCACTGGGAAACGCAGCTGCAGTCGCAGGTTCTCACATTTTACACTCAGCTCCGTTTGGCTGGGATCCGGATCGGGATAGGCATCTGCCGGAGGAACTTCATCGGAATCCCGGACGAAGGGAGAACAGCCAAAGAGGGCACCCAGTCGATCGTAAATGGATACATCCAATTCCGCAGTACATTCGTCCAGAATGCATTCGATTTTGTTGGTGCATCGATTATGGTTTTGCTTAAACATAAACGAGGAGCTCTGAGTGATCACAATCTCGGGTCGGATGTGATAGCCATCCGGGCAGTTTCGCTGGCGATCGAACAGCAGCAGGTGCTCACGGGCATTGTCCAGAACCTCGCAGAGATCCACCGCTGTCGCCGACAGAGTCGTTCTCGATGTGAGCTCCTGAAAGTAGCGCTGCTGGCTGCCACTCACTATGATCGGAGCGGCGCGCAACAGGAGATAGTGCTGCTTCTCCAGGGGCAGGTGATTAGCGAGGAGTGCGCCCTGAAAGAAAACACTGGCAGTATCCGAATATCGAAGGTAACTCGTCTGATCAAAGACCGTGCTGCAGCTATCAATATGGGCCGTATTCTGGACGAGAATATCATTGTGTAGTGCCACGCCATACAGCTTGGAGATCTGCACCTTGAACTTGAGTATCTCACCGGACTTCTCCGTGTAGCCCAGCTCCTGCTGCAGCGTATTTGTGCAGGATGTGAGCATGCTATTGGTAGACTCACTCATTTTTCTACTTCGCGCATAAACGCTGCGGGGGGCAAAGCCGCCGGAGTATTCCGAAGGTTCTGGTTCGCTAAGACCTGTGGACCAGTCCGCATTCTGGCCGAGTATTCCCGTCATCCTTGTGGGCTGCTGCTGCTGGTGCGGTTGGTACTCACTGGGCGGCGCTGACTTCAGGCTGCGTCCCTTCTTTGGTCGCTCCTGCTGGCCACCGCTGTTGAAGCCCTTGGATAGCTCGATGAGCAAATGTATTTGCCGGGGCGTGAGCATAAAGTAGATGTCGTCCAGACTGAGTTCAAGGCTCACCTTGGGCCCCACTATGTTCTCCGTCTGCTTGATATTGATCTGTATGTTTTGGGCGCCCTTGAGCTCCACGATCTTGCATAGCTGCTCGTAGGGAGTGGGCAGAAATACATCCAGAACCTCGGAGGTATGCAGACTCAGTCCCTCTATCACCAAATTGTGCTTGGCTATCATGGGCAGGGCATTAAAGCTACCATTGGGATCCTCCTCATGGGCATCCGTCTCTGTATCGGTGTTTTGGGACGTGGACATGGACATCATCTCGTAGCCAGTCTTGTTTTTGTACTCCACATGGCTGGCCTGGACGGAAAGCACCAGTTTCCGGTCCGATCGAGGCAGCAGATACTCAATATTCAGTGTTGTGTTCGTCAGCTTGGCGCGGATGCGATTCAGCACATTGTCAATGGTCTCCGCGAACTTCTCCAGCCCAATCAGGGCGTTATTGTGATTAAGGAAGGGCACATCGTCGTCCACCTGCTTCATACACTCCTCTGCCATTTGCATGGAACTGCTAACGGACGACCACATCGATTCCAGCATCGTGGTGCCGCTCTGATGCCGCGTAACAGGCCGCAGGGTTATCGTCAAGTTGGAGATCTCCAGGCTGCTGTCATTGGTCATCAGCGCATTCCAGGGCACGACCACGGTCAGGCAGCCAATGTGACCTGATACCACCTCAAAGGCCCAGCCCTGATCCTCGAAGAGATCATTGAAAGCGTCCACTTTTAGGAATATATCCTCCACCACCGCCTTGCCATTGTAGAGATCAACCTTCAGCTGCTCCAAGTTCAAGTTATTCTCAAAAAACTGGCCCAAATACCTCTGCAGGAGGTAGCGACACATCTTGGTCTTGAGTCCATCCCAGGGATTGAACCACGACATTGTAAGTCGCTCTTATCTGAATCCCAAGGTTTTCCGCTTTTCCGCTTTGTGCGTTTTACTTTATTTCTCCAGCGAGGGCAGCAGCAGCAGCAACAACAATAACAACACCAGACCTTTGTTATTGTTTTCTTTTAAGGGAACACGGAAATGGAGCAAATGAACGCAATTAAAACTCCTTTTAGATCTCACAACTCACTTTCTATGGTTCTCTTTGCTTAGAGACGGCTGCTGGCACCGATAAATGTGCATTATTTTTGCAAAATAATGAAAATAATGAATAAATAAAGCGCAGTTGCAAGTGTCTTGTTTTTTCTCTTTTTGTTGCTGCGCCAATGTGGCCAGATGGTGGGCGTTCCTAAATCTCGGCAAAACAGCTGTTTCTTCCACCTGGTCACTCTTGTGAGCAACAAATGGCCACAAGCAGCTGTTTTGCTTAGAGTTGGTAAACATCGCCAAGTCTAGGAACAGCTGTTCGCACGAAAAGTTCTTAAAATTATTTTTGTTTTCGCTTGTTTTTCTCTTTTGGTTGCCTTTTATTTACATTATTATGCTTTTGTTGCCTATTATCGTCGTATTTTGGCTGGGCGTTGCCGGCAGCAATGCGAAGTCCATCAAGAAATCGCATGTTAACCTGTTGGAGCCAATTACTGGCCCAGACGACGCCTGGCAGGGCAAGTGGTTCCCCTATGCTCCCGGCCAGCCCCACATCCCGCAGAATGCGCAACGTGTGCAGGCAACGGCATCGACGCCAACTACTGATAATTGGACGGGCAAGTGGTTTCCCTATGCGCCAGGAGAACCGCATGTGGTGAAGGTGACGCCGCAGGAGAGGCAGGACGAGATGGAGAAGAGTAGCACCACCCCGAAGGATAGCTGGCAAGGAAAATGGTTTCCCCAAAGTCCCAACGAACCACACAAAGTACATAAAAAGCCCCTCAATGAGGAGAACACTCGCCTTGGGGAAATCGATTGCGATGACGGAAAGGTGAGTGAGACGTCAATATGTAAACAACATGTAAAAGCGACAGGTGTTTTCTATTTGCTTTATAAATATTCATTACTTATATTTCAGAGCAACCTTCGCTTGGATTACGACCCGAATGACATCCGAGATAGCTTGAATTACCTGTGCATCACTAGCAATCGCAGTCTGTACCAGCCGGACTTGAACAGAGAAGCCCTACTCACAGAGCACTTTCTGCCAATGGCCTATGTGCCACCAGCAAAGTGCATGAATGAGTCCATCGAGTACACACATTTGCCAGTCACCAAGTAAACCAACGAACGTGGTCTTCTCTTGAGTAGTTTCACAACTTGAATCTTCATTTCCAGTGGCGCGTATCGTCCTTTACCCGCTGAATATGGCGTGTACTCCTATCTGCCGCCTCAACGTTACCTGCGCAACCTGGCTGAGGGCGCAATTGTGATGCTCTATCATCCCTGCGCCTTTCCCGGGCAAGTGGAGCAGCTGCAGCACATGGTAAGCGGCTGCCTGTATCGTCATTTGATCTCGCCCTCGCAGGCTCTCACTGCCGAGCGTCCCTTGGCCCTGCTGGCCTGGAGCCACAGCCTGGAAATGTCCGTGGTGGACCGGCGACTGGTGGCGGACTTTATACAGAAGCATGCCAAGCAGGGACCACTTGCGCTGGAGGAACTTTCGCGGGTGGTGGACAAGAGGGAGGCCTACAAAGAAGGACTGACAACGGAGGCACGCTTGGTTACCACAGCGGATGATTACGAGCTGTGCGGCTACATGAAGGAGGGGATGTAGCGGCAGTATGTTAACTATTTGTTTGCAACTAAATAATTGTAAATAAACTTCGAATATTTTAAATATGTTTATTTACGACTTAAATTTTGAAGTCCCCTTCGATACTTTTGCGTTATCGATGTACACTCCAGATATCGATACATCCCTTGTGCAATCGATTTTATTCCATCTCTAGTTCGGTTCGTTTAGTTCTCTTTCTCCAGATAAAATCAACTTCAATAAACGATCGGCCATTGGATCACCGCCTGGGCTAACCCGCACCCGCAACATCGTCGCCAACTCTATCCGACGACGGCCATTGCCATAATACCACATCCCGCAATCCCGGAAACTGCCTTCCACAGCACCGAAAAACGTACGAAGAAGAGGAAGCAGCAACAGCAGCAGAGCCGGAGCAGCAACAACAACAAGAACAATAACAGAGGAGAGGTGAAACAAAGGAGAAGCCGAAGCCAACTTAAAAACAATTAAAGCGTCGATTTGTCGGCACTCTAACGTCGGAATATCACGTGATTGGGCAGCAAGAGTTAGTTCGATTTATCCGTGGAAGTGTCACAGAGTGTTTTCTGGACATATCCTATATATCCTGCTTGGACTTCAAGCTTTACATAACATCTGTGGCGGTTGAGCCAATTGGTTGCAGGACAGATTGAAGGAGAATTGAGAAAGCTGGAACCGGAGAAGGCGGTGGAGTTAAGGAACTAGTTTGAATATCACAAAAGAAGCTGCCTTAAGAGACCAACAAAGAGGACCTAAGCAGCACCAAAAAAAAGAGCTTCAAAAGATCAGGGAAAGCAGCACTACCAAAGCACAAAAGAGCTTCAAAATACCCAACAAAGTAACCGCAAATATTCCCGTATCATAACCATGAACAACCTGGCCGACACTGTTGTCGTTGATCCCGGCTTTGGCGGCGGCGACAAGCAACAACAGGCGGGACCAGCGCCGCAGGATGCCAGTGTGGTGGTGCCACCGCCAGCCACCAAGCAATCCTCTGCCCTGAAGAAGACCAGTCGCTATCGGAGCCGCTCGCTAAGTGCCTCCTCTACGGACTCCTTCAGCTCCGCCAGTTACACGGGCAGCAGTGAGGACGGTGACGATGTACCGCCACGCGAAAAAGTCCAAAAGAACTCACGGGGCAGCTCGGATTTCTGTGTCAGGAACATTGCGGCCCAGCATGCCTTCGGACGCAGAGAAATCGAGATTGCGGAGCAAGAGATGCCGGGCATTATGGCGCTAAGGAAGCGAGCGGCCGAGGACAAGCCACTAAAGGATGCCAAGATCGTGGGATGCACACACATTAATGCCCAGACCGCTGTCCTCATCGAGACGCTTGTGGAGCTGGGGGCCAGTGTGCGCTGGGCCGCCTGCAACATCTATTCAACACAAGTGAGTCCGAAAAACGTCACATTATTTAGAATTTGTGTGGGATTCGGTGCTAAGTTATGACTATTTTTTATTTATTTGCTGCTCATAAATTTGCAAAGTCATAAGCTAGATGTAAAACTAACGCCACAAAAACAGATAGCTAAGATTTGCACTTATTTCCATTTCATTTAAATCTATTTAAATTCATATTTATACTCGAGTTTAGGTCACTTGATCTGGCTGCTTGCTGGCTTGCTTGGAGGCAATTGTTGTCACGCCAGGCGGCGGCGCAAACAAATGATCAATCAAGCCCATGTTAATCAATTAAGCGCCCGCGGCTCAAGTGTTTGGCAATCGCTGAGTAATTGATGTGCCCTGAATTGGGTCGCCGCAGCCGCAGTTCCATTTCCAGCATCGATTCGCTGTTCTGCGGCTTCGATTTTGGTCTTCGGTCCTGCTCCATAGCTGATGCAATTATCACGAGTCCGCTGAGAGGGACACTAAACAATTTATGGGATCTCTAATGAAGCGATCTGAGTGCCAAGGCATACCCTCGCTCCCCCATCCGTGACAGGTTTTTATCGCCCAACGTCCCCGACAGGCCGTCACGCTGATTCACCTGTATCACCTGGAGACTTATCAGCTCCGAGTTTCCACTGCCAAGTGCCGTGCTTAGTAAGGGGTGCAGCCCAATTCCCTATCAGTCCAGATATAAGCCCGATATTACCCCATGTTTACACCGCATTTGCGTGGTTCGATGTATTAGAAAAATATATAGACTTTTGCACAATGCTGAGACATATTTATTTAAGATTTATTGATGCATTGATAAGTTCTGAGTTTAAATATATTTATATTATATATATATATATATATATATATATATATATAATACATCAATAGCTTAGTTGAAAAAAAGTCTTTATTACTGTCAAATTCGTTACCTTTCAAACTTAAAAAAAAAGGTTTTAAAGTACAAAATGTAGGTACCTTCCATTCGATTTAATAAAATTCAATAATATTCTTGGAAAATGTAAAAAGAAATATAAATTTAATGACTTTAATAATCCTCTTCAATAGAGTAACCGATCCCTATACCCTATCAGGCCCACATAAGCCCAATATTACCCTGGATTATATAGCTTTTGCAGTCTTTAAACCATTTAGAGATCAATTTGTACTCGGCAATAATAGTTCTAAATTTAATTATGACCTACAGAGAGTGTGAAATCTTTTTAAGATGGCTTAAAACAATACATTTTACGTCAGAAACGAACTTTATCGAGGGTTTAACATTTTTAAGAATGATAAATTAATGTATGCATATGCTTAAGCATTAAAAACAAATAATTTATTTGAAAATTGTTGGATGATGGATGATAATACTATATATAGGTTGTGAGTTATAGGGGTAAGAGGTAACACTTAAATACTAAACAGCTTCAAAACCACAAATAAAATCTAAAGTTTTATTTTATAAATTCATAATAATAATCCCAAAATATTTACAGAATGAAGTGGCCGCCGCTTTGGCTGAATCTGGAATCCCAATCTTTGCCTGGCGTGGCGAGACGGAGGAGGACTTTTGGTGGTGCATCGATCGCTGCGTGAATGCCGAAAACTGGCAGCCCAACATGATATTGGATGATGGCGGCGATGCAACACATTTGATGCTGAAGAAATATCCAACCATGTTCAAGCTGGTGAAGGGCATCGTGGAGGAGAGCGTCACCGGAGTCCATAGACTCTATCAGCTATCAAAGGCCGGCAAGCTGACGGTGCCAGCGATGAATGTCAATGATTCGGTGACCAAGACCAAGTTCGACAACCTGTATAGTTGCAAGGAGTCCATTCTGGACAGTTTGAAGCGCTCCACAGACGTCATGTTTGGCGGCAAGCAGGTCGTCGTCTGCGGTTACGGCGATGTGGGCAAGGGCTGTGCCCAGGCCTTGAAGGGACAGGTGAGGATTAAATAGAATAGCATAAAAAATCGATATATAAAACACAATTATTTATCTAGGGCTGCATTGTGTACATCACCGAGATCGATCCTATCTGCGCCTTGCAGGCCAGCATGGACGGCTTCCGTGTGGTTAAGCTGAACGAGGTAATCCGCAACGTGGACATCGTGGTGACGGCGACAGGCAACAAGAATGTGGTGGTGCGCGAGCACATGGACAAGATGAAGAGTGGCTGCATCGTTTGCAACATGGGTCACTCCAACACGGAGATCGATGTGAACGGCCTACGCACACCGGACTTGACCTGGGAGAAGGTGCGCTCTCAGGTGGACCACATCATTTGGCCCGAAGGCAAGTACATCATCCTACTGGCGGAGGGTAGGCTAGTGAACTTGAGCTGCTCCAGCATCCCCTCGTTTGCCGTTTCCATTACGTCGGCCACCCAGGCGCTGGCCCTAATTGAGCTGTTTAATGCCCCGCCCGGACGCTACAAGTCGGACGTTTACTTGCTGCCCAAGAAGATGGACGAGTATGTGGCCAGCCTGCACCTGCCCACCTTTGATGCTCACCTCACGGAGCTGAGCGACGAGCAGGCCAAGTATATGGGACTGAACAAGGCCGGTCCTTTTAAGCCCAACTACTACCGCTACTAAAAGGGAGAAAAAGCGGCGCGGATGCGGACAATAACACACCAGCAATTATGAGAAGAAACAACAACAAACAACGCCAACGAAAGTATTGTCTTTGCGAAGAAGTAAAACTATTTAAACAATTGTTGACACACGAACTACACACACGAACACACAACAAAACACATAGAAACACACACAAAATGATACGGAGAAGGAGAACACAAAGTTACTATTACCATTGTATCGCTTAGTTTAGCTCGAGCAGAATTCTTGGTTGCTTTTTTGTTAGCATTTAACAACGTCTTCGATATATAGTATTTAGAACTCGCTTTAGCCGCAGGAGTATTGTCTCTGTTTACTAACCCCCTGGACTCTATCTCTCTTACTTAACTATCAACTAATCTTGCCCCCTAAGAATTTACACCCCTTGAAACCTTTTATGTTGCCGGTTGTTTTGAATTTATTTTAGATAGTTCGTTCTCTGGCATAATTAGTGGTATTCCTTCAACTGATCCTGGATGAAATATCTAACAGAATAACAGGATATCATCCTGGATAAGATGAAGGAACCTTATATGCTAGTGATCGATATTTATCATTGTCTCGTATTTGTTTACGTACTTAATTTGTTAAACGTTTATGCTGCTCCCCGTTTTTTCACGTTTCGTTTCGTCCGAAGAGGAGTGTTGATTGAAATGCAGTGCAAAGTAATTCCATTTATTCAATTATATACACGCTGGCATATATATCAGATCGAGAATTATATATATATATATACACTGCATATACACACCTAATATGTATATTAGAGAAAAAAGTGAAAAATGTTTGTAAGAAAAATTGTGAGAAACGCAAAAACAATAAAAAAAGGGATTCTTTATTGAGCAATAACCTTTGCAGATCATGGATGGGCTTCATTTTTAAAATCGTTTCAAGATTGGAGCCAGATTTGTATGCAATGCACCCTCAAGAACTCCCCAAGATGAAATAAATAGAACATTACTTTCCAAAGTTTATTTCAGATGCATCACTCGTCTATTTCTCTTTTATTAATCGATACTTTTGCCTTAAATTTGTTATATTTTCTTTCTTTGATACTTTTATAAAATGTAAACTACACACAATAGTTTGTTACCAAAAAATTATACAATTCGTTCTGTATTCGTTTTATCTCTTAATTTCTTTGTTTTTGTCGTCGCTCGTTATTCATGATCCTTGTATAAACTTTCTTTTAGGTTACTTAAAATGTCGTAGACTACATAAAAATGCTTGTGTAGAAGCGTCTTAATTAATTGTTAATGCTAGAAACACATGCCAACTAAATCTTAATCAAATGTGGAACAAACAAATCTAAGCGGAGCCGAAAGTTTGCCAGACAGTTTTCGTTTTTTTGTTTTTCAGGAGAGACAGCGGTTGAAACTAAGCTAGTGTGTGGCGTATTTGCATCTGGAGAGCTGGTGAGCTGGAGAGGATTGGGGCCTTAGTCGAGGAAGTGTGGCTTGAGGTGCTTCAACATGCCGAAGGTGCGGAAGCGGCGGATCTTCATCACCTTCATCAGTTCGTCGTCACAGATGGCGAACTGCTTGTTCTTTGGATCGTACAGATCCCGCTCCTTGATGATGGCCCAGACCTTCTTGACCACCTCATGGCGTGGCAGGGATGGAGCGCCCATAAGAGCGCTCAGTTCCGGCGACAGGTTGTAGGCGCGCGTAAAGCCTGTGCTCTTCCTGGCTGCTCCACTGGCAGTAGTTCCGCTGGACTTGGCCTTCTTCTTAGCGGCCGGCTTCTTCACCACCTCATAATCGGAATCGGAGCCAGCATCACTCTCCGTTCCCGAATCGTCGGCGTTGAGGGTCTTACGCTTCTTCTTTGGACCCGTCTTGTGCTTGATGGGCTGCGTCCGCTTCTTGGGACCCGGCTTCTTCTTCTGCTTCTGGGCCTCCTCTTCGCTGCTGCTCATGTTCTCTACCTCGCTGGACTCGCTCTCATCGTCAGGATCGGCGTCCGGATCCTTGCCGTCATCTTCCTCATCATCTTCTTCGTCCTGCTGCTCATTGATCACATCCATAACGATCCTGTCGAACTCCTTCTTGCGATTCAGCAGCGAGCAGTTCAGCTTGCCCTCCACCTGCTCGCGCACCCGTTTGGCCGAGATGGTGGACAGGTCGGCATCCTTCAACACCGACTGTATCTCGCGGCGCAGGTCCTCGCTGGAGATGTCCGACATCTTGTTGGCAGACGCGTTTTATTCCTCGGACTGGGACACGTTTTCAGTAAGTCTGCAACTGTTCTTAGTTATCCAGGATTTTCTCTCAAACCTAGCCAGATCGCTTTGTTTACCTGTGGCTCGCTTTTTAATGCTACTTTTATATTTCCTCGCCGATTTTCCGGTGCTCGTTTTTTTTCTATCTTTTTTTTTAGTAGTCGGCGTCTGTACAGGGTTGCAAGCAGTGTGACCGAAAATTATCGATATGAATATACCATAAAATACTATTTCAGTTTCGTGAAATACCACAACGAATGGGACTATTCATTTTTTAGTTAGATATGAATAGAATCGATTTACATCAAATTCTAGTTCTAACAAGATGCAACTATTTTTAATCATCTACAAAGTAGTTTTTAATATTTTATTATATTTTTTCAATATATGACAGATAATTCAAATTAAAACGATTATCTTCATATCCCAACTAGAACATTCTGTTATCGAGTAGTCGATACCGAAAAACAGAATATTCGTTATCGTTCATTCGATTGTAATGCCGGAACGAAAATAAAATACAACAAAAAAGTTTATCTTAACAACATTTAATTGTTTAAAGTGCTTATTTCGTTTCCGTTCGGTGCTCCAATGTGCAATAAACAGTTACAAGCATCATCGGCCGTCCACGTGTGCCGGAAAACCCAAAAAGTGCAGCAGCTGCAGCAACAATAACAATCGCAGGCACCAATGAAAAGAAAACAGCAACAACTACACATACAGCATCGAGGCGACAACAGAAATAACAACAACAACACTTCGAAAACGGGCGCTGAGGTAATTTTGCTATTTTTTATGCTGTTTTATTGTTTATTTATATACATAGCTGTAAATGCGCAGTTGTGTGTGTGTGTGCCTTCGAGTGGGTGCGTGTGTGTAATGTGCGTGTGTTTCCCGTCTAAAATTTGATATTTTCGGTGCAATTTGGAGCTCTGCACGGATTTTTCATGCAGCCCCCCTTTTATTTAATGGCATCTATGTATGCATGTATGTATGTAAGACTCGCATTTATGTGTGTTTCATTATCGTTTACCGTGGGATTCGCAAAGTTTTCGCTGGCCCGCTGTCTCCTCTTATTCGCCTCTCGGTGTTCCGCTTTGTGCTTGTGCTTCGCGTCTTTGTTTTGCCGGCGTTTCGACGAGTTTGTTATTTCCTTTTCTTCTTTTTGCTGCGACGCCCTTTTTCCAATCGGAGTCTGGCTTGGTTCCCAATAGGGTTTTTGCTTGGTTCATTTTTATTTGCAAAACAGATCAATTAAATAAACTGTGGTGTGAATTAAAGACAACCGAAAGATGGGCTTCCGAGTGAAGAGCTTACAGTGGAACCCTTGCTACTTAAACTATCAAATATTATGTAGAAAATATTGCAAAAAGTGCTTAGAAACATATTAAATAGAGAAAGGTAAGCAACAAAATAATAAATAATTGGTTCGATGTTTTAAGTATGCTCAATTGAAAGAAATACATTTATTTCGTGAGATAACAAGAGCTTTAGAAAAGCTTTTATTAAAATTACAGTTATTAAAACATTAGTTGGATTTTACTGTACCCATAGCAAAAAAGTTTATCACCTATTCCTATGTAGTATATATTTCACGTTCCTCGGTAGTGGTTAAGGTGTAAATTTCATGTACCCAAAAGAGTATTAAATTCATTTATTATTCATACTCGCTAACCGCAGTTATTATGAGTTAATAGTTTTCCTTCAAAACGTGCTTCGGTTGTTTCAATATGGATATAATACATGAGAAAGGGGTAAGGTGATAAGAAATATTTCTCCATTTACTGAACCCAACAAAAATAAAAGAATTATAATGTTATATCTTAAAAACTATGAAGCACTTCCGTAGTTCGTCCGCTTGTTTTAAATACAATATAATCAGGTTTTCCATAAACCAAAAGAGTATTTAATATTCGTTTATCTTTCTATACATTTTCTTACAAATCTTGTGTGTGTTTTGTAACATTATTAGCCGATTTGAATATTTATTTATTGCAGCGGCTGTGCTCCGTGTTGTCACTCATCCATTTCCCTATTTTTTCTCGTGTTTCTTTATCTATTTTGTGGCTTGTTGTCGCCCAACAGTGCCTTCTAAAAGTGTGTGATCTCTACCTGTTGCTACGGCCCACCCACTAAAGTGGAGACAACATTTTCGCTGACAGTGTAGACAAAATTTAATGTTTCAGCGTTATTTTGTTGTTGTTTTGGACCAATTAGATGTTCTTGGCATAGTTTTTTCTCACATCTTGCCACGATCTAACATTGCTCATTTAAGTAATCACATAAATTATCGCAGATTATGAAATCAGCCAGCGAATTTGGATGTTGTTTTTGAAGCTTTTTCGGAAATTTAATTGGGCTCTTTTTTATATTAGGAATGAATATACGATATAAGTAGGGATTTAATATAATTAATTGTTTTAGAAGTAAATACTTATAATGCATATTTTTATAAATTTATTTCTAACAAGAACAACCATATATTTAAATGGATTTAAGAATCTAAAAGTAATTATATTATATGCCAGTCTGAGGAATTTTATATTTCTTATATTAATTACTATACCTTTTCCTTATGTTGTTTACCCAACCAAAGCAAATTGTATATAATATTCCCATTTAAAAACTGCAAATTACTTAATTTTGAACCTTTTGGACTACTGCAGGCATTCTTGAGCAGGGGCGGTCATGAAAATCTCTTGAATATTTCCCGCTGTCTTCCCGATGATCTTTGTTTATTGCTGCTTTAAAACTAAATGCTCGCCGTTTCGTCATTATGAAACGACGTCAAAGTAAAAGCACCAAGGAACTTTCGCACGGCGAAAAAATGTTTTTCAATTTTCCGCCATTGCCTCTGCCTCTGAAAACTTTTCTTCGCCCACACAAAAAGAAAACTCTGACGCGCTCGATTTGTGTTAGTCTTGGTGCCTTCTCGTTCCCATGTTTTTTATGCTACTCGCTTTATAATTTATGCATAAAAAAAGTAAAGAAAATAAATAAATAAGCAATGCCTGCATTAAGACATTCGGTTCTACAGTGGGGTGTCTGGACTGAACTGGCCTGCACAGTGGGCCATAAAAGTCAGCCCACTCATAACTCATAGACCAAAACTATTCGAATGTGACCCTGGGCGAGGTGCTTGACAGTGGCAACAATTAAATGCACACACTCGCACACAAATGTATGTGCATTTTTATGTTTCTAGCATGTGCACTATAAATTTTACCCGGCAGACGTCAAAAATTCGCAAATAAATTCATAAATTCCCTTTTTTTCGGTGCATTTGTTTGGCCCTGACATTGCACTTGCCGCAGCAAACATGGAAAATGGCGAATGAAAAATAGAAAATTGGAATGGGATTGGGCAAATGCAGCAGATGGAAAAATGAAAATGCCAATAAATATGTAGTTTCCTATGAAAAATTGTTCACTTTGTTTATGACAATTTCCAAAATTGAAGACTGCAACGCAAAGGCAAAAGAAAACATTAGGAATCTAAGGCAAAATGGATTTAGCAACAAGTACAGTGCGTAACATATTAATTTTATATAGGTTTTTATATAAATGTATGGTCTATCTATAGTCGTTTTTTATATGAGAACAAATTAAATTTTAAAAAACGTATAACTCGGCAAAAAATGCATGAAATTCAATTCGGAAAGCTGTTCTGTGCTAGTTTTTACTAGGTTAACAAATCTGCATACTTAGTTTAAAATGTTAAAATTCTCAATTTTTGGCCAATTTTTGCAAATTTTAATGATGTAACCCCTTATCATTTTTTCAGATTTTGGCAAAATTTTGAAAAAATTGTTTTTCGTCCGGAGTAATCTAGATCGACGCAGTTTTTTGCGCTGATCAAGAATATATATGTTTTATAGGGTCGGAAATGTCCACATCCTTCGGAAACACATCCTTCGATGTGTTTTAAGCTTCTGACTGAAATGAGAATCCCTGTTTTGGGTATAAAAAATAAATGGGAACAGTCTTTCCGAAGTCCAAATATTAATACTCTTGTGTCGTTTAGAAATTTGTTACCTTTTCCGAATCTATTCTATTGTTCTATTTATCATTATTGCATTTAAATATATTATTTTGCTTTGCAGAATTTTTTGTAGATAAATTCAAACAAAAACAATATAATTGGTATGGATTTTATTGGTATTTTTCAATACGAAAAATTTTGCGACAAATCAAATTTTAAAAAACTCTTAACTCAGCCAAAAATGCATGAAATTCGGAAAGCTGTTTTGTGCTAATTTTTATGAGGTTAACAAATCTGCATACTTTGTTTAAAATGTCAATATTCTCAATTTTTTGACAATTTTAACGATGTAACCCCTTGTCAAATTTTCAAATTTAAAAAAAATGTCTAAAATTTTATCCTTTGTCCGAACATTTTTTATTATTAATGGCCATCACAACCCTATCGGGTCACAGCCTGTTGCACAATCTGCCTCCACGCTTCCCTGTCCTGGGCCCGCGCTCGCCAGTTGGTAACACCAGATGTAGACAGGGCTTCCATCACCTGGTCCTGCCAACGTATCCGGGGTCGTCCTCTCCTCCGTTTTCCGACGATTACCGCATCAAATACCTTACGAGCCGGAGCGTCTTCTTCCATGCGGGCGATGTGACCCAGCCAGCGGAGTCTTTGAATTTTGACTCGGCTTACTATATCAACATCCCCGTACAGCTCATACAGCTCGTGGTTCCATCTGATGCGATAAGCATCGCCAACGCAGATTGGACCAAAGATTTTGCGGAGAATCTTTCTCTCGAACACTCCAAGAGCAGCTGCATCGGATTGCACCACTGTCCAGCACTCCGCACCATATAAGAGTACTGGAAGAATGAGCGTCCTGTAGAGTGTTATTTTTGTCGGTCGAGAGAGAGCTCTACTGTTAAAGTGCCTACTGAGCCCAAAGTAGCACCTGTTGGCAAGTGTGATTCTCCGCTTAATCTCCAGGCTGACATCATTTGTGCCACTTATTGCAGATCCAAGGTAAATGAATTCCTTCACGAACTCAAAGCTATGGCTTCCTGCAGATAGCTGGGAATCAAGACGCCGCGATTCCCTGCTAGAGCACACCATAAACTTTGTCTTATCCATGTTAACTGCCAGTCCTACTTTAGCTGACTCTTTTTCAATAGCCCCGAAGGCTGCTGTAACATCACGCTTGGTTCGGCCAATGATATCAATATCATCAGCGTAGCCAAGGAGTTGGACACATCTGTTTGTTAGAATAGTGCCCGTCCGATGCACTCCAGCCTTCCTTATAATACTCTCCATTAGAATGTTGAAGAGCATACAAGACAGCGAGTCGCCTTGTCTGAGACCACACTTGGTATAAAAGGTTTCGGATTGGTCATTTCCCACCCTGACAGAGCTGATGGTGTTGCTCAATGTCATCATGCAAAGCCGTATTAGCTTTGCTGGTATACCAAGCTCAGACATGGCGGCATACAGGCGATCTCGCCGGGGACTATCGAATGCAGCCTTGTAATCGACGAAGAGGTGATATGTGTCGATCTGATTTTCGTAGGACTTCTCCAGGATTTGGCGCAAGGTGAAAATCTGGTCCATAGTGGATTTGCCAGGCCTGAACCCGCACTGATAAGGTCCAATCAGTGCTTCAGCATGGGGTTTCAGGTTTTCACATAGTACGCTCGTAAGGACCTTGTATGCGACTGGAAGAAGACTAATGCCACGGTAATTGGTGCGCAATGTGGCATCACCCTTCTTCAGGATAGGACAGATCATGCTGTGGTTCCAATCGTCGGGCATGCTCTCCGTTAGCCATATCTTGCTGATTAGTTGGTGCATGCTCCCTACCAACATATCACCAGCAGCCTTAAACAATTCAGCCGGCAGGCCGTCAGCACCTGCGGATTTATTGTTTTTAAGTCGTTGGATTGCAACCTTGACTTCGGCATGGCTTGGGGTCGGTACGTCCACATCAGTACCATAGATTGGGGTTTGTGGATCATACTCTCCATAGTCATCATAGCCAGAGCCAGCTAATAGACTTGAGAAGTGCTCCCTCCATAACCTCAGCACAATCTCTGCATCAGTGACTAGGTTTCCGTCATCGTCCTTGCACGCGACTCCTCCAGTCTTGAAACCTTGGGTCAGACGCTTAACCCTCTGGTAGAAGTTACGAGCTTCATTCCGGCATCTGCTGCTCTCAATGCTCTCACACTCACGCCTCTCCTGTTCTCTTTTCTTGCGTCTGAAGAGGCGTTTCTCATCTCTCCTCCTTGACCTGTAGACCTCGACAACAGCCCTTGTGGCCCCAGCTTGCAGTGTTCTTCTGTAGGCGGCGTCTTTTGCAGCTGTTGCGTCGCGACACTCCTGGTCGTACCATGGATTCCTCGTTGGGGCACGTTGGAATCCGATGACCTCTTCTGCAGAAGTTCGCAGGGAGTGGGATATGAGTGCCCACATATTGCTGATGTCTTCAGGTGTTGGAGTTGCTCGGCTCAGCAGGCCTGAGACTTGAGTGGAGAATGCATCCCTTGTCCGTTGTGATTGCAGCTTCCCGATGTCCAGCTTTCTCAACAGTCCTCGACGTGCAACCTTCGCAACACATAGCCGTGTGCGAATCTTAGCTGCAACAAGATAATGGTCGGAGTCGATGTTGGGACCCCGACAGGATCGCACGTCGAGTACGTTAGATGCATGCCTTGCATCGATCACAACATGATCGATCTGATTTCTGGTCAGTCGATCAGGAGAGAGCCATGATGCCTTGTGTATGTCCAAATGACGAAACCCAGTACTACGAACTACCATATTATGCGCTGCAGCAAAGCCTATTAATCTGAGACCATTGCTCGAGGTGGTCTCGTGTAGACTAAATTGCCCGACGGTGGCACCAAAGATGTCTTCTCGCCCTACCTTGGCATTAAAATCCCCAAGGAGGATCTTAATGTCATGGGAAGGACAGCGGCCATAAGCCCGGTCGAGCTCCGCATAGAAAGCATCCTTGGTGACATCGTCCTTTTCTTCGGTTGGGGCATGCGCGCATATCAGGCTGATGTTGAAGAATTTGGCAGTAATTCGGATCGTTGCAAGTCTCTCGTTTATTGGCAGAAAGTGAGAGACCCGGCGCCGCAGTCTGGCGCCTACAACGAAGCCACAGCCAAATTCATGCCGTTCTGGATGGCAGCTGTAGTAAATGTCGCAGTTCTTCTTCTTAAGGCAACCTTGTCCTATCCATCGCATTTCCTGGATAGCAGTGATGTCAGCCCTACATTTATTGAGGGTATCTGCTAGTTGTTGAGCAGCACCTGGTCTGTACAATGTGCGTACATTCCAAGTGCATACTCTCAAATCATTGTCCTTTTTACGTGTGCCATGGTCGTCAACTTTAGATCGGTTCCGTTCCGAGGCTTCATCTGCTTCCTTCACTGAAGATTTGTTTTCCGTGGGTGGATTTCAAGTCCTACGCCACAACCTAGTTTGAAGAGCTAGGACTCTCGTCGCGCGCTTTAGTTTGTCAAACAACGGGTGTTGAGTGACAATCCAGGGAGAACCACGTGGAGGTAGTGCGTCGGCTTGGGGAGAGCAGTGATAAGGATCATGCTGGCATTCACCAAGTTGAATGCAATCAGACACTTTACCTTATATACCCCCCCCCATTCTTCCCTTTGTCCGAACATGGGTAGATCAATTCGGCTGTTGATGCCGATCAAGAATATATATAGATTATTGGGTCGGAAATGACTCCTTCGATGTCTTTTAAGCTTCTGAATTAAATTAAGGGGTATAAATATTATAGCAATATACAAGGTGATCCAACCTATAATGCATATATTTTTTCGATACTCACTGTATTCTGGGGGCCTGGGCATAGTTCTGAGAGACTTGGTTGTGCCCACGTAAAGGCGTCATAAAAAACACGCCCACTTGCCCATGACACAATCGAAGAAAAGTCGCTGCGCCTGGGTAATCCGCCGCCCATTTTCCGTATTTTCCTTGAATTTTACCCACAGGGGAGGTTGTTGGAAAGTCTTTTGACGTCGTCGAACACTTGCGCCCAATTTGGCCATAAATTTGAAAAATGATTTTCTACAAAATTCTGCACTCCTCCTCGATGTCGTGAATTTCTGTGTCGCTAAATCGAATCAAACGAATGAGAACGACAGCGACGACAAAACAAAAGTCAGAGGAGCTGAGTCAATTTTCTTATTTTTAGTACATACACGGCTTGTGCTTTTATTTTATTCTTTTAAATGTATATTTTTCTATTTGCGATAAAAAATATAATTGTGCTAAATTTAACCAAATTAGTTGTTGTCGCTGTTCTAAATTTACATTTGCAGTTTACTTTGAAAGACTAATACTGATCGTGGATTAGTCATGCAGGTGGTTCTCTCTTATATATAATAGCTCACACGGCCCAACAGAATCGAATTTGAATTGATTTCACAGTTTGTGTTTAGAAAATTCAACGAGCATCTCATAAATTATATTTTATATCTGGAAATGGTTCCCCCCAACGTCCAATTGCCCAATTTGTGAATTTGTTTATTGGCGCAAAAAATTATGCTCCGATCGGGCGAAAGTTATTTCAGAAAATGTTGCTTTTCAAGGTCGTTGATGCTCGGGGGGATGCTTTGCAAAGGATTTTGTGCAGTTAAGATCACATTGGACGCCGGCCAAATAATAAATATTATTTTTTCGCATTTTTCATTTGGCATATCTTATTGTTGCTCCTTGATATGGGGCTAAGAAAAAATAGAAATAGAAGAAAAGTCTCCGACAACTGGACAAAACAAAAAAAAAATAAAATTTAATATATGGGGGAAATATATTTTAGGAAGTCGTGCATAAATAAAAAAGAAATACATAAAGTGTTTAGGCTATATTTATAATTGGAATTTTTGATTGAATTTAGGATACGTTGAACTTTAATGTCAAGAATTGGCTTTAAAATAGATTAATTTTGCTAAATTTCAAATGTCTGTCTGGTTATGTATGCTATATTAATATTTATATTTTGAGCAGTCTAAAGAAATTGATAAATAAATATAATGAATACACCGGAAATGATCTTTATTAATTATATCATATCATACGATTATAATTAATTGAATTGAAGTAATGTAAGAAAACTTTTGAGAACCATTACATTACATATTATACAGTTTCAATATATTTTAAATACAACTTTAAGTTTTTAATGCTAAATAGGTGATTAATAGAACCAGAACTATGTTTTTTTTATGATCAGTTTAAATCTGCTAAAAAGATTACAAAGACTGAAATATGTGTATTTACTCATTTAATGTTTTCTGTATTTCTGTTTCCTTAACTCCTTTTATAACCAATACATTTTAAAAAGTAATGCAAACATTTTTATTTAGTATAAAAATACACACAAAGCAACACTTAAAATCCCATTAATTGCTGAGTTATGACAAGCAAGGTTGTTTTCTCCTGATTTTCCAATCATTTTCAACCTTTGAGAGACCTTCGCTAATTTTTTTCCCCAACTTAAAATAGTAAAAAAGTTTAAACTAATTGCGGGCACTTGCACATGCCTTGACCCAGAAACCTAGTTAGTAAGGATGTCAGAACGTTGGAGATATCCTAAATGCCCGATCAAATGGAAACTCTCAATTTTGGTGTAGGGTGCACAGGCGAAAAAGACCGAAAACTTTTCTTGAAAACTTTTCGAAATTAAGAGCCGTGCGCTGATCACACAGAGTGAGAGAGTGAGAGAGAGGCAGAGATGTTCGTTGTTCTATTTTCGAAAAAGCGTTTTTCGAAACGCTGAGAGTGAAAGAGCGGACGCATTTTCGTATAGGAAATGTGAAAGTTCATTGTTTCATTGAGGAAAACTGGTGAAAAATTCAAATTATCTAACAGTGGCGAGAGGACCCGAAAAGATTTTCATTTTCATTTCGAAAATCCGGCAGTTCGTTTATTCGAAATGGGAGCAGAAAGGCGTGCGCGCCCGGAATATCTACTCAGTGGTCTCTGCGGAGGTTTCACGTTTGAACGTCTCTCGAACGAACTCAGGCGATTTCCACGGAAAAGCGCAATGTGAAAGCCGAAAAAGACTAGAAATAGCCTGGCGTGACGTCCCCACACAGACGACAGACAGCAGAACCGAGAACCATTAACACAACATCAGTTGTTGCGGACTATAACGTACGGCGATCGGATCTAATCGGATCGATCTCGAGATCCTTCTCTGTTTTGAATTTCGCAAAAAGAAAAAATAATAAAAATAAATAAATAAAGAAACGTGTTAGACTAAGAAGTGTCACGAAAATGCCAACATTCCATTGTTAAATCGAGTTAACAAACAAATAAACCGAAATCGAGAGAGAGACAACACGGATTTCTATGATCAGGTGGCTGTGTGGTGTCTTTTTGATATCCTTCAACAACGTCGCGAGTGTCAAGTGCGTCCAAGTTGTGGTGCTTTTCGTTGAGATGCCTCTCTGAGCTGCTCCGGCCCTCCTGGAATCCGAATCGAAATCCACTTGAGGCAACCACCCAGTACCCAGTGGTCAGTGGTTCGGGCTCGGGACCATGCCGGTCATTGCCGATTCCGCCAGCGATGAGCCACCAGCAAAATGTTGCAAACATTGTGAGGGTATGCCTAGATCTTACATCCATCTATTCATACAATCTATATAGTTACAAACTTTATAAACAAATTAGGGAAAGTGCGAACGATGATAGTGCGTTATAATGTAAAGAAGGAATCAGTTTTTCTTTGCATAATTAATGTTTATGTATATGTCAGGTGATTTTTCTATTAAACGATTATTATTTACTTGGTGGTTTGAGTTAGAACAAGTATTTTTTTGAATACAAATCTTTTTAAATTAATGTTTATGTATATATCAGGTGATTTTTCTATTAAACGATTATTATTTACTTGGTGGTTTGAGTTAGAACTCGTATTTTTTTAATAAAACACTTTTAAAACATGGGAACTACCTATTCATTTTGATTTTTAGAACCTTGATATGTGTTGTGATCTATCAAAACTTTCTTAACTTTTCATTAAGTACAGTAAAATAATTAAGTACTTCTCTTTACAATGTAAGATAGGGAGTTATTCTACAAAACTTTGCCTAGATCCTCAATTTAACCCTATAAACAAAGGCCAGAAAAGTGCATCGGTTATTCAGATTCAGGGCGGGTTCGTTAACCGATTCCCACCGCCATTGGGCTCGAATCCACCGGCTATTAACTTCGGCCCAAAATCCAAACACAATTGAAAGATTTATGCGCAATTTCCCCCGATTTCCCCCCTTTTCTCCCTCCCAGCACTTGACTGACTTTGCTGCTTTGGCTTTCAGTTTTCAGTGTTCAGTTTTTTTTTCCTGCCGCTCCATTTGTTTGTTTTAAATTTTGATGCTGTGCCGTTGTGCCCGGGGCAGCAATTGCTGGGCACTTAGTTTTTCCTGCTTGTACTAGAAAAGTGAAAGAAAAAAACCGCTGACGCGTCTACTTAACATTTTTTTCGGTGGAAATCATCATGACAGCCAACGCCACCGGCTGCAAAATAGGCCTCGAAATTAGCTGGGAAATGAAATTTACTTTGGTTTTGTTTTTTATGCTTTTTTTGAAAATTAATTTTCGCAGGGATTTTGACAACATTAAAATTGTGACCGGAAATGTCAAAATATTTTTGTTTTTTGAAAACTAAATTAATTTTCAAAGAGGATTTGAAAGTTAATTATAAATCTGTGTTTCAGTAAAGGCTGATCTTTTGTTTTGATATACGAATTTAGACATATTAAATATTACTTAAACAATGCTTAAATAAGCTTGATTTAAAATTGTATATTGTTTATATAGTAGCTTAAATACAACGTTATATTTGACTCTTTATTAAATAAATCTGTTTTAAATATTGCTGCTAATCTTTCATGTACAAATCCTTAAGTATACCTTTTCTGATTTGGTTTCAATAATAATAACCTAATTTGTATAGTTCTAAAACCATAAGCACTTAATTAATTTTTTTCGAAATATGAAAGCTCAATTTATTTATAGGTATATATCACACATTTTTCATATCCAATAAATTTTCTTTTTAGGTTTAAGAGTTTTTATTAGTTCCGAACTATAAATAATGGCATGATCAATGCTTTTAGCAAAAAAGAAACAACTTTTGCTCAGTCTGAGGTTATATTTAATATATATTTCAAATCGTATGACTTAAATTTAGTTAATTTACGTTAATTAGGCAAAAGTGTTGTCCCTAATGAGGGGAGGCTGTACTTTGCTCTTTTTTTCTGTGCTTTTTTTTTCTCTCTTGAGTTTTGGCCGTGCGTTTTTGCTTGGCACGCGCTCAATGTCAGACTGACCCAACCACACCCCATCGGCCCACCCAAAAATAAATAAATAAATAAATAAAAAAAGAGAAAATAAAGCCAACCACCCGCAGCCCTTCTCCGCCTTTGGCTAACGAGCTGTTAAAAATAAAGCAATGTAAAATGTTGTCAACAAATGCAGACATTGTATGAATATATAATGTAGAGCGTAAGGAACCCAGAGCATATATATGCCAAAGTTAAACAAAGCGTGGGCGAACCTCCCATAGAAAACGCAGCCAGGGAACCAGAAAATCATGCGGAAAATATTTTGATATAGAGAAAATACAACACGAATATGCATTGCATATAGGAAAAGGGATCTGTCGTAACCAATCATCCTAAACAACATGGGAAAGCTAAGGTTTTAAATCTATTTCTTTATATAACTAAATAAGATTTAAGGTTTATCCTGAGTACCCAAGAAAAGCTTTTTATATTCAACAAGATATGTGTTTATTTAATTTCTCTATTAATAATTGAGAAATCTTCCATAACACTCTCTTTAATCTTTTCTATTCCACAAAATAGAAGCTTGGACAAATAAACTATTTCACCAAAAGCATTTAAAAATAAATAAATTATTCTAATACCAAGAATTAATCAAATCAAAAAGAAAAAAAAGTGAAACAAGCAACAAAAACATGAGAACGTGCGCTAAGTCAAATCATCTTGGCCATATTCACACCGACGACTTGTTTACAACAATGCAATCTTGTTTACAAATAACAAAATATATATAAAACGAGAGAGGGAGATAGAAAAAATTCCATTTCTTGTGGCTAATCGAAACGTAAAATTTTCCAAGCCTTGACACTCTTTCAATATATTCCATGCATATATATTTTTTATTCCTTTGATATATACATATATATATTTATAGTAATTTTGATGGCTGTGATTAGGCATTGCAGCTATTTTTTTTCGTTTATGACTTTTTTATTTACATGAAAATGAGACCCACTGACTGCTTGGGCAAAATTACAACAGCAGAAGCAACAATAAAATCAACAAATTTAATGAAAATCAAAAACGAGACAGACGCCTCCCTCCCTTTCCAAATTTTCTCCTGCTTGATTTTCCTTTTTTTTTCTCCCCTGGTTGTTTTTACGACCATTTCCCATGTAATTTTTAGTGCTGAGTGGGGCACAAGGTGTGTGTTTTGTGTGTGTTTGCTGTTGTTGTATGAGCAAGGCTCTTAAACACTTTAAAATGAGTGTCGCCGTGGTGCTATTTCCAGGCATCATCGCACCTCCGAATGCCTCGGACTGGGGCATTCCTGACATCTCTCATTCGATTGCCTCTTGGGCGGGAGCACAGCATCCAAAGATCGTGCTGAACTGTGAATTTTGGAAAAGGGGAGAAGAATTTTTGAATTTTTCATTTGCCTTTGGGAGAATCAGTCAGGCAGGTCTATCCATCAACTGCCAATAGCTCATTGAACTGGGTTAGTGCACTGGGGGGAAAACTAGTAGGAAAAACTAGTGAAGTAGGAAAACTTTTACTTTCTTTTGGGATTGAAAATATAGTTCACATAATTAAGTTTATATCGGGGGGAAAAGCAGTGGGAAAAACTAGTCAAATTGAAAACATTTTACTTTCGTTTAGTATTGAAAAAGTAGATCACTTAATGTAGTTTCCATAATGTAAGCCAATCATTTATTTTATAATATTTCCAAGACCAGTTTAATGCTTATTATCTATGAAAAACATAGTTATTAAAATTATAAATCTTACTACCTTAAAACCCTAAAAACTTAATAGAATATTTCCCCCAAAATCCTATCTCGTTTTCATCTGAAATTCTACACAATTTCCCTCACTGTAGAACCCAAAGAAAACTACTAACCAGAAAGCACTCAGTTTGCAATTGAAAAATCAATCAACTTGGAGGCTTTTCCAGCCAGACCAAGACGCTGGGCAATGGGAAATTCAAAAAATTTTCTACTTACAACTCGGGAGAGCGAAACAAAGTGGCAAATAAATTTGCACTTGCATCATCGTCATCATGATGATCATCATGAGGTTGAAACGTATCGTTTCCCTATATATTGTATCGAATGGAATATAGCTGGCGTAGGAGGGAATGAAATGAAAATGAATATGGGTTTTCGGTAGTGAAATGTGAATTTTCCATGGCAGCCAAAGCGGCATCGGCATCGGCATGGTGTTTTCGATTGTTTTTCCTTGCGTTGCGCGCGAATGTGTGAAAAACATGCCGCAAAAATTGTATTTTCTTTTGTGTGTGTTGCCGAAAAAGCCAAGCGCCAAGCGCACACACAACACATGGATTGTATTTTGCATTTTTGCCCATTTTTGTAGTCAAATTTTTATTTTTTTTGTTGTCTGAATCAGCTCTTGCCTTGCCGTACAACGGGGCGTATGAATATCGAAATTTTATTACTTCTGGCTGCTCCTCTCGTTGTTTCACGTTGTTGTTTTGGTTTTCTTTTTTCAACTTGCGCAATGTTTACATACATTAAATGGCAGCGTCCAGTCAAAGTCAAAATTCATGTACATGGCAAAGAGAACCGGCCAAGAGAATCCGATCGCAGATTTGGTTTTTAAGGGAAAGAGTACTTGTGGCAGAGAGAAAAATTAAGGGATTCTTAAACTTGTGGGATTAATAATAAAAAAACTTTATTATTTATATTTCTAAGACTTTAAAGAAGGGGGTTCCTTAAGAAAATATTGGTATAGCTCAATAATATCTGAGATAAATGATACTAATTTTCAAAAAACATTTAATCAAACACATTTTCCTCCCGTGTACCAGTTGTGCATTACTTTTGCATGTTGCAGACACATGTTCGAGAACTCAAAAAGAAAAGAAATAATAATAAAACCTAAACAACAACAGCAACAGGCAGTTTTTGGTGTACAGATACATATATCTATCCAACGTATGGCATCGTCTATATATCCCACATTGTCCAGTTTTACCTCGTTTTGCAATTTGCTGGCCAAGAAATTCATTGGAAATTTGGGGAAAACGAAAGCGCACGCATTTGTGCAAATAAACAATGTGTGGGAGTGAGTGTGTGTGTGTGGGAGGGGGAGGGATAGTGGAAAACAGGTGGGGTGTATGGTGGGTGTGTGCGGTGTGTGTGTGTAGATACATCTAAACAAGCATTTGAATAATTTAGAAAGGGTATATTAGACCCTAAAAGACTGAGAATTTTGAATAAGAAAATCGCGATGAAAGATATACAAGTTTCAGTTAAAACATTACTAATAATTAATTTAAAGTAAATACAATTTGTAA